TACCTGTCAGCAGATAAGAATGCAACACACAAATCTAATATTTCAAACCTCCAGCATATTTAAAATGAAATTTCTAGGCATCAAGTACTTGACGTAATCCAATCTGAAAAAACATGATCTTCATCTCTTAAGTTAGAATTTGGAGAGTTTGTTTACCCCAGCAAGTAAACAGTTTGATTCTTGCTGTAAGTAATTTTAAGAACATTTGGGTCATAACTATTCACAATTCACTGAACGGTCACGGTAATCTGTGCCACGATATGAGTATGTCACGAGATGAGGTGAAATAGGGTTTAACGTTGCGTTCAAGATTATTGCACTTGTATAGCGACGTGCATGCACATGTGTGGCTGCTTGTACTAATCACAACTAATGCAGGTTTTATAGTGCTAACCCACTGAGATACCATACCACAGCTTAACCTGGATACCCACTTAGACACACTGATACTGATACTGACTCCGAGCCAACCAGTCCTTGTTTCATCCCCTTGACGATGAGTTCGAGGTAGGGTAACATATCTTAACATCATTTGGAATGACTCAGCCAGGGATCGAACAACTGACCTTCCTCTCGCCAGGCAGACAATCTCTCCACTAGACCATGGAGATGGAAGGTTCTACTTGAAATGACTTTTGTCTCACCGTTCTGATCTCCACAAGCCTCTCTATGCTGGCATCCCTTTCTATTGACTGTCCTGATGTCTTCTTCAACAGCACGAAGGTCAGGTTTGTGAGGTAACTCAGTAACATCTGGTACTTCACTTCCAGGAAGCTCACCCCCTGAAAATCAGAGTGCTTTAACCTCTATCACAATGTAACACAACTTACACACATAATTTCTGCATTATATTTTAACATGTTTAAAAGTTTGAAAATTTCATTCTGGAACTGTTAAATCCCCTCTAACTTATATATTTGATTCAAGTGAGTGAGTGAGTATGGTTTTACGCCGCTTTTAGCAATATTCCAGCAATATCACGGCGGGGGGACACCAGAAATGGGCTTCACACATTGTACCCATGTCGGGAATCGAACCCGGGTCTTCAGCGTGACGAGCGAACGCTTTAACCACTAGGCTACCCGACCGCCCCTTTGATTCAAGAGGCAGGCATAGGGTTTAAAAAAGTGAGTGAGTGAGTGAGTATGGTTTTCGCCGCTTTTAGCAATATTCCAGCAATATCATGGTGGGGGGACACCAGAAATGGGCTTCACACATTGTACCCATGTCGGGAATCGAACCCGGGTTTTCGGCGTGACGAGCGAACGCTTTAACCACTAGGCTACCCGACCGCCCCGGTTTAAAAAAGAACAGACACGCAATCAAATAAATGCAGGAGTGGAGAGAGTGAGTTTGGCATTACACCACTTTAAGGAAAATTCTTGCAATATCAATTCAGGTGCACCAAGAGTGGGCTTCACACATTGTAACCATGTGGGCAATCAAACCTGGGCTATAGGCATGATAAGTGAGCACATTAACCACTTGGCTAGCCCTCTGCTCAAGGGTGGTGAAAGATAAGTACAGAAGCATCGATAAACACAATATTATCAATATGTCCGGAGTGAAGATCCTTGGCAGAAATAGGGTGGGGAAATGTTAATAATTTTGCTGATGTAATATGATTTCCATGAAGAGTTTCACTCTTCTACTTTGTGTCATTACCACGTTGATTATGTTACATAAAGGTGAGGAATTGTTAGATGAAAGCTTGCGTAATTCTGTATGTGTACACAGTGTATAACCTATAAAGTACTCACTTTTGAAGTGTCAAACTCTCCATCTTTAACCCTCTGGAGTAATGCAGAGACATGTTGTACAGCATCCCCAGCCTTCACCTTGATGTCCTTCAACAGTGCCAGGGCAGCTGGAAGGTCCCGCTCCACTATCTGATCAGGTCACAAATACAATAGGTTAATTGTTGGGAATACTATTGCACTTGCATGTATTGGTAAGAGCTGTCTCACAATCATTAAGTAAACTACACAAGAGTAAACTACATCAAGTGAGTAATGATGTGTGCCAGTATTTTGTCACTAATAACCTGCTAGGATCACACTCCGATGAATATCTACCTTCTTCAACAACACACATTAATGAAGACATTGTCATTCAGATGTTCTATTCTCAGAAAAAGTTAATGTGTTTAAATTGTTAAAATTCTGATCCCAAATAGTGCTCATATGTCTTGCATATATGAACATGATGAATGGATCACCATTGATCACAGTGATTTTCACAACAGATTTTGACAAAAGTCAATCACATATAAGAATGCTTCATTGACTTAGCCTGGTTGTGAATGAGCGTGCCATTTTCAGCAAACAAGTAATTGTCAATGCAAGCTTCTAGCATTGCTTATCACCAGTGTAAATAGTAAAACACCTACTACCCATAATCACATTTTAAAGGGGCACTGATCTAACGCAATTCCCCGGACTGGTTGTTGCCTTTGTTATTGTTTTTTTCCCCGCGAGTACCCGGATGATACGCAACGCAACTGAGCGTGACCAGAGACTGGCTACCGTCTGCAACGACAGCTAAATAAACTTGGAGGCTGGAGGCAATATTTGTTTTACGCATTTTTGCATTAACACTGATTGGTTAACCGTGATCTAAAAAGATTTCGACAAAGGGCGCATGTTAATTAATTTCTTCAGCCTAAACTAACAGACAAAAAGAACGGCGGAGCTCATCGGATGTCGTCATTTGGAAATACCCCAGATGGTTGTAGTTTAACACTAAAAAAAGTATCCATGCAGTGAAAGCATTTTCGGATTTCGGATTGCGTCGATAATACGATTACTACTCCCTTGTTGTCATCCACGTTTTCTGGTATAACCCTACACTTGTGTATTTGTCGTCATTCACTTGATGCTCAGTTAATGAATTTATTACAGGTACAATTAGTGGAAGCACCACTTAGATTACCTGACAAAGGTTCCCATTTGGCATTTATTGTGTCTGGGGTAATTATTCAATCTAAATCCAGGTTTGAAGTGAGGTGAAATGTGTGTTATGTAATATGCACGTGGCAGACCAGCAAGAGGTGAATGATCAGTTGATTTCCTTTTTTTTTGTAAATCCACGGATCGTTCCTAGTCATCAAAGGATTAACAGAAAATACGTTGATTGATTAATCACTGTTATCCTGCACAGTGGATATGTCAAAAGTGAGTGTTTACACGTCTAGGTTTACTGAAACAAAGGGAATACACTCATATCCTTGCGTGAAGTGCCGATGTAAAAACAACATACTTTGTTCAAAGGGTTAACTGATAATACGTTGATTGATTGATCATTGTTATCTATCACTCAATGGATTTTTTAGGAACCGTGGACGTTATGAAAATAGTTGTCACGTGGGCTTTCTCAGCTGACCCTTGAGACTTGACACCTATGTGAAACACCCGAAACAATCCAAGTGATCAATTGAGAAACGATATATATCTTTTAAAATATGTGATTGTTACAGAGACACGTGACATCGAATACGTTTCTTTGTACAGCTGCAGACGAGTGGGCTATTGTTCCTTTGTGTCGATATTCACGGATACATTCCTCGAACAAGGAAGCTGCCTAAAATTTATACACATAAATTTGGTAGGTTGTACTTATGGTATTTGCATTTTGTTTTCCTTCATTTGCTGTAGCATTGAACCGATTCGTCCTTGTTTTTCTACGTCTTGGTTGGGAAATTCTTCAATGCGCGATAGACGTTTTCACAGGCCTTTTCCCTTGTAAGCGTGTATATATTACCGTCAATTTGTAAAATGTAATTCTCTCAGGCAATTTATAAAATGTGTAAATATTTCAGTCATTTTGACTAAAAAAATCTGTCCAGATTGATTAAGACGATCAAAAGGGCCTACAAACATCACAACAGATTATTATGTAGGATAAGTAGCCAAACAACATAGAAATGTACTTTTCAACGTAACATTTTCAGTCTCTTGGTGATGACATTAAACATTAAAATGTTTGGAATTTGTTATCATAATAATACAGATGGAAATGTTTTTCAGTCACTTTGTTAAATAACTGAATATTTAGGCGTTTAATAAATTTTAAAATGTTACACATTTTGACAAAAATATACACACTATCAAAAAGCAATGCTCAGGTGAAACTTTGTGTTGCAAGTCAAAATAGTGTAAACGAAAATCGCAAAATTACCAAGCAAGTGACTTATCAAAACTACGTCACCATTACCGATGCTACCCACAAAGATACCTACATTTCCTTATTATCTCGAAAACTGTATTTCATTTTGTTGATCAATGTGACCATACGCCCTTATTACTACCCATACAAGTGACTAATGCGCTTACGAATGGCGCAGCAGAGGTCGCGAACTAGTCTAGATTTCTGCTATACATCCGGGTACTCACTGGGAAAAAACAATAACAAAGGCAACAACCAGTCCCGGGGAATTGCGTTAGATCAGTGCCCCTTTAACATTTCAAAAGACAAGTGGTTGGTTATTACTCATAACAATATAAGAACGAAAATGTAAAAGCAGTCCTATCAAAAACTGGCAAAAAGAGTGATTGAGGTGGGTTTGACGTCGCTTTGAACAGTATTACAGTCATATCACGACGAGTCATTCTCTGACAATTGAATTAATGCAAATGTATGAGCTCGGAAACCGGCAGTGATGCAGGTCTTTGACAGGCGTATGCCAATGCCAGTTACAGAAATCACTGTATGGCATGCAAGATGAATTCAGCATTTGATTGCTTTCTACAGAATTTCCTTAACATCAACAAATACATCTTTACAGTGACAAAAAATATGTGTTATTATTTCTCAACACATGTAAACAACACGCACGTGTTCTTCCATCTTGGTTTCAGCGCCCCCTGACGGGATTCCCTACGGGAGTACTTATTGCAGCAAACGCACACGCAATTTTATACCTTAGCGTGCAAATTTCAAACGACATTGTATATGTATTCATGCTACAAAAAGGACAGTAACATTACTATGGTAGTACTTTATTACGTATTATTCCGATAACGAGCATCATATAAAAATACTACCTCCTTCGTTTTTCAACACAATACATTCTCAATTTTAGGCAGAACAAAATGGCTACTCGGAAAAGGCACAAGTGGGCAATCGACTTTTTAGGTGGCGGAAAGTGAGTTGTTCTTTACAACTGAAGGCACACATGTGTAGAATTTGTAGGTGTAACTCTGAGTTAGCTTTCAAGGTCGAGCGGGTAGTTTCTCAATTTGATTTCCATGTAGCAGTAGATATTATACATATCTGGGCCAACTGTGCAAGTCCGAAATTTTGGGATCTCCGATTTAATGTCATCAATTTTTTAGTAACATCGCGCGGCAGCAGAAGTCTAGTTCCGTTTGATATGATAGACAAGATATACACTTTATCTCCTCCATTATCTTGATAAATAATCAAAGCTTCAACGCGAGGGCCTGCAGCTGGATCATCTGAACTGAATGTTCTGGAATAAATCATTCTATTCACAATATGCAGATATGTTCACAAGCATAATGATCATACACTGTACATACAACTTGTTAATATGCTTAACAGGGTCCTGTAAGGGTCCTGGGAGTGGTGCACTTTACCAGTCACACATTTTTAGATTTCAATTAGCGCTGCGTGGAGGATTGATATATAATAATGAGTTAATCTAGGTTACCAACACCCTACCAACATGACCAAGGGACCATGTGCGTTATCACAAATAATTAGTGTTCGTTTACCAAGTCATCAGCACCTGATGGTTTACCTATATGGGTTGCGCAGTAGCCAATGACAATTGTACAGAGTTCCCTCGAATTGCATTGGATTAATTTGTAAAGGGTGATAGCTAATCCATACGTTACCCTACCTCACATAATAATGGCAAATTTCTTCCGGTCCTTATGATAGACCCTATATTAACTATTGAGCAGGTTGGCAAGGACTATAGGACTGGTGCCAATTTCTAACTCTGATTTTCTTAATTGGATTATGTGTTGTGTAATATATGTGCTTCATATTTCAGGTCACGAAGTGATCGGGCACTTGTCCAGTTCACAGAACTGCAACCCCCTGTTGGTTATGTGGACACAGTTAGTGTCAGTGAAAAGGCAAAGGATGCCGACCCAAAGCTCATTGTAAAGGTATCACTTGTCTTGATTTGTTGTTCTATGTTGAAAATGTTGAAAGCTAATGTAATATACACATTTCTTTGATAACTGATTTAGTCAGTCCGTGTATAGACACAAGTGTTAATAATTACTAAAATTAATTTGAAAACAGTGGTATGGATTTGAATGCAAGCATTTTGTTTTGATTGAACGTAAATCCTAATTTTTTTCAGAGATCTTGGGACATAGCCCTTGGTCCAATAAAACAGGTCCCAATGAACATGTTCATCATGTGGATGGCTGGGAATTCCATCTCCATCTTCCCCATCATGATGGTGGGCATGATGTTCTTCCGGCCGATACAGACACTTTTTGGGATACAGAACAGTAAGTGTATTGTGGATTAACTCTTGTGTAACATGGTATAAAGTACTGGATAGATAGAGCATCGGCCTGAAGAACGGAACGTCAGTGGTTCAATCTCCTGGCTGCATTATACCAAAAGATTTTTAAAAGATATACTTGTTACCCTGCCTGGCACTTGAGATTAAACAAGTACCAGTACTGGTCGTCTCAGAGTCCGTATACTGTATCGGAGTGGGGTACTCATGTTAAACAGCAGGATGGTATTTACTCAATGGGCTAGCTCTATAAAAAACGGTATTAATCCGTAGTTGTATAAGCAGCCATATGCACACATGTACATGTACATTGTTACATAAGTGCAATCTTGGAATGCGATGGTAAACCCCATTTCACTGCACCTTACCTGTAAACTACAGATAGTTTGAGCTGGTCTGATCTTCAGATAATGCTTGAGTGCCCAGTTTCAGCATGCTCATCTAGGCCTTGACATAAGGTTCTGATTAAAACAAATGAAAATACTACACAAGACAGTGTGACTCTTCGGCTTGCAATACCTTAGTGCCTATTGCTAAGCAGGGCATGGGTGGCCCAGTCGTCTAAGGCGCTGTGATTCGCTGTGCAGAGTTGCGTCCCTTGGGCACGCCAGAAACCTACGATTGTGGGTTCGAATCCTGTTTTGAAGATGTATCATATTGGGACCACACCATCGAGATACGCTGCATTCTGACCATACCATTAAGACATTTCATATTGGGACCATACCTTTGAGACACGTTGCACTCCGACCATACCCGTAACAGGATTAAGACATCTCATATTGGGACCATACCACCGAGACACACTGCATTCTGACCAGAACATTAAGACATTTCATACAGGGACCATACCATTGCATCTTCCCGAGGCAAGAGAGTTAACTGACTTTAAAAGTCCAGTTCCCACCCTTGCCGAACTAGGCTGGTATTATGGAGTTACATTTTGGCTGGACTAACGATTCTATGCATAGTCTAATCAAAATCGCGCACCGAAATCGAAATCCGGTTCGTTAACTGTCGTTCAGATTTCGGTCGATTGCAGGATTTGCAAAGCATGTGCACCGCCAACTCGTTGTCAGCAAATATTTTCCAATTTTTTTCCTGTTTTTAATCAAGGTGCTCACGTGATTTGATGCATTTCGCGATGTAAGACCCGTTTTATCACAATATAGATATTGATTATCGATCAGATTGTCCTGACCGGGCGCCACCATTTTGTGTGAAGCAAACGCAAGTGATACGAGAGGTGGAATCTGATTGGTCCATAGGAGAGGCTTAGAAGGGACATAGCTGGTAATAGCCACTGGTGGCCCCACAATCGAGCCCAGTAAGTCCAGCCTAGTTCGGCAAGGGTGGAAACTGGACTTTTAAAGTCAGTTAACTCTCTTGCCTCGGGAAGATGATACCATTGAGACACGCTGCATTCTGACCATACCGATGGGACATTTCGTATCAGGACCATACCATCGAGACACATCTTATGATCGTACTGTTGAGACATATCATGACAAAATGTAAGCTTACAGCCCTGTGTTGTGCGCTGGTTTCTCATGTTGCGTTTTCCTTCCAGCATTTAAGATGATCGAGGGTGACCAGGCGGCATTCCAGAAGTTTGTGTACCTGCTGGGGAACCTTCTGTGCCTGGCGATGGCTATATACAAATGTCAAGTGATGGGGCTATTGCCATCCCATGCGTCAGACTGGCTTGCATTTGTCCAACCTCAGGAGGTAAACAGCAGTTGCATTTTATTGTCTTGTTTTGATGAGAACACTCTATTCCTTTATAACATCTTTTCTTGAGATGAGGTAAAGCATTTGTCTGCATTTTTAGATCTTGTTGACATGCAAGATGGTAGGTAGTTAATAATCAAGTTAAAACAGAATACTGAGATGCAAAACAGTTGCATTTGATCTCTTTTTTTTATGAGAACATTTCTGTTCCTCAAAAGATAATTGTTCTTAACATGCTTTAGATTAGGTAAAGTTTATGTCATCCTTTGTAAGATGTTGGACATTTAATGATTCAAGTTATATGGGAAACAAGAAGGGAAATGTGTAAAATATTTGCAATAAATATAAGTTCTTTTTTTCAGAGAATGGAATGGTCTGGCGGTGGAGTGATGATGTGAATGTCCTGATGAATCTATCTATATACCTATGTACCTGTCTTGTCAATAAATGTAACATGTGTTGTCAAAAGGGTTTTGTATTTTGACTGCACGTGAACAAGATGGAGAATGCTTTGTCAGCATTTTGTACCCTGATCTTGATTTTGGGCAGAATACGTCCTGAGTACTTAAACTTAAAGGGGGATTGGTAGGTCACAATGGCTGCTACGTATGAAACATACTTCCATGGGTTACCATGGGAAGTCAGCTCTCACTGTGACCTATGTGCCATCATTTCCTAATGGTGGTGAAGTCTCCACACATTATTTGCCCCCGCCACAAAGTGGGAGGGGGATACAGAACTGGGTGTTGTCCGTCCGTCCATTCATCCATCCATCCATCCATATCATTTCTTTTGAAGAGCATAACTCAGAGACCGTTCAATATTTTATTATGTAACTTTGCATATGTATCAGACACATGCTGAACTGGTGCCTTTTGATGTTTTCATATTTCTAAAGAAATGATTCTTTGTTTCCTTGTTTAACTTAGTGCATAGTGTCTGCAATGGAGACATGTTTTAAGGTAACATGAGTTCCTTGCTACATGTATATTTACAGAGTTAAAGCCCTTACCTCATACTTTTCAACATTCACTTCATATTTTTCACTACTATATGAACCAACAGAATTCTACTGGGCCCCATGGCGGGGGATAGTGATGACATTGTTTTCTTGTTGATCACTGATTTGTTCCGATTGGACTGTCCAAATTTTTCTGTAACTTTTCTGACTAGTGCAAATTTCCCTAGTACTTTAAGTCAAAAGGTTTGTTTGCTGTAAAGGGAAGATCTCAAAACTAATGACCCAGTAAACAACTACTTGCCAAATTACATTCCCCCATGAACAGAGGAAGAAATCAATCTACTGGTTTTTGTGTGTTGAATGGCACCAGAGCCAGACTTATTTGTTTGTTTGTTGTTTAATGCTGCTCTCAGCAATATTCCAGTTATATGACGGCAGCGGTCTGTAAATAATCGAGTCTGGACCAGACAATCCAGTGATTGACATCACGAGCATTGATCCATGCAATTGGGATACGGTGATTGCCTCAACCAAGTCAGCAAAGCCTGACCACCCGATCCCGTTATTTGCCTCTTGCGATAAGCATAGTCACCTTTTAAAGCAAGCATGGGTTGCTGAAGACCTATTCTAACCCCGATCTTCACGGGTGTCTAGACTTGTAATCATGGTAATCACATGATACTGTGAACTCTTAAACATACATCAACAAGGCTTTTGTTGACCACAGAAACAACTGCTGTCAATCTCATTAAAATCAGATATTTTACTCCAATAGCAATAACTCTCTGCATCAAGATCTGACGAAGGATGTGTGGGTTTTTGAGCCAATCAGGTGTCAGCTTTCAAACACAATTTAATCTTCATTTCTTTCCCACTCAATTCAGAAATTCCAATCTTTGCAAATGAAAACTGCCACAGAAAACAAATATTCCATCTGTAGTACACCCTTTCGGATGTAGATGCCATGCCAATCAATGACAGGAAGTATAAAATATCCTCAACATAATGGTGTGGCTTTATTTTTTTTTAATTGCCTCTTGCAGATTATGTTCATTTTTTTAGATTCTGCATACCAAGAATTAAGACACCTTGGCTAATCAGAACATTCACCTGACATAACGTCCAAGGGAGGTACCTCAGATCTTCATGCAGAAAAGTATCATCAGCAAAACATCTGATTTTTATGAGATTGCAACTGCTGTATTACCAAAGTGACTTTTTACAATGATTACATCATATTTTTGCACATGGGACTATTAGTCTTGTCAGAAGATAGCTTTGAGGTTAATGTCTTGTACATTGAACTAGATGTGTGGCAGTGAACTGAAATAATAAGGACTTAGCTCATCTGGTCATTGTTTGATAATTACAGTATTGGATAATTATGGTGAGAGAGTGACTAAGGTTGTCTAAAAGCTGCTTCAACAGTGTTTCACTCGTCATCTTTATGTATACTACTCAACAGAAGTTAAACAACAAACTTATTAATGTGACTACAGTTAATCTGTCATGGTTGGTGGGTATAACAACAGAGAATCCGCTTGTGGACATTGTTTAACTTCTTTTGAGTAGTATAGCAGGATTGACGTAATTGACTCCTTGTGTAGATGTTGACCACTATTGTGAAACACATTGACAAACCAAGATGATAAACTGGAAGAATCTGAGATTCAAACCCACAGCATATCCTCACATAGCTAAGGGACACAACTCCGCAGAGAAGTTTGGTGCCTTACACCACTGGGTCAACCATGGTCCCCAATGTGAAGAGTCTAGAAATCACAACACAATGCCATACATATCTATAGATGTTTATTATATAAAGGCAAATTTACTTTATTCATACAAAATTAAGGGCACTGTTTGTTACAATCCATCTGCACGAACCTGGAGTCACTATCTACACTTGTATTACACAACAATAACAACAGTCTCTACTGAACATAAAAATTCAGAAATTAACACCACATGTCAAAATGCAGAAGTGTTAAAAATAATGATACTAAAAATTTGTCTACTGGAGGGAACACTACTTACAGAAACATTACATAGGACGGTATCAGGTTTCATACAGCTTTAACTGTGTATCACAGACAACAATAAATAGATCTTTATACAATATATGGCTACATTACATATCACAGACAACAGTATAAGACACTTCTGTACAATATGTATGAGAAAGGCACACACTGTTTTACTGTCACTAAAAGAGTGGGTGAGTGAGTTGGGTTTAACGCCCTTTTTACCAGTATTCCAGTTATATCCCGTCGTGTCAGCTTAATGTGGGAGGAAAGCCAGAAGTGATGCAGGTCTCAGACGTTAACCACTTCGGTGAAACCCATGAGCACGGGTATGGTGCCCACAAACCTAGAAACATATGGGGTGAACCAGGATTCGAACTCACAATCATAGGTTTCTGGCGTGCCCAAGGGACGCAACTCTACACAGGGAATTGTGGCACCTTAGACGTCTGGGCCACCCGTGCCCCTGTCACAAAAGGAACAGTGGACTGGCCTGATATTGTGGCAAATATAGATGCATTCAAAATGTGTGAAATAGTTTCAGATAAACACTTCATATTTATTGAATGTTTAGATTAATGCAGTATCTGATAGCACTGTTATGAGACTAGTGGATCTTAAATCCCGAATGGACTCTGCACTATGTATGCCAGTGAAATGCAGCAAAATAATATCATTCCTATAGTGTCTACTGCAATACACTGTCAACTCAGAATATTGTCTTGCATTTGTGGTGTTTCTTCAGACATTGAAGCTAATGACATAACAGTGGTCTCTGATGTCCTGTATATTTCTTCTGCAATCAGATATGTTCAGTCAATGTTTCAGTGACATTCAGATATGTTTAGTCCTTGTTTCAGTGACATTCAGATATGTTTAGTCCATGTTTCAGTGACATTCATGTACAGTACATTTCTATAGCCATCAGACATGTCCAATACATTGTTTCAGTGTCACTCCTCTGTTTGAAGCACGTTTCAGTGACATTCACATATGTTCAGTCCATGTTTCAGTGACATTCACTTATGTTCAGTCCATGTTTCAGTGACATTTACATATGTTCCGTCCATGTTTTCAGATATGTTCAGTCCATTTTTCAGTGACACATATTCATGTACAGTACATTTCTATAGCCATCAGATATGCCCAATACATTGTTACAGTGGCAGTCCTCTGCGTGATGCAAGTTTCAATCATGTTCAGTCCATGTTTCAGTGACATTCATTCATGTGAAGCACAATTCAGTCATGTTCAGTCCATGTTTCAGTGACATTCATTCATGTGAAGCACATTTCAGTCAAGTTCAGTATAAAGTTTATATGACATTCATTCATGTACAGTACATTTCTACAGCCATCTGACACGTTCAGGACAAAGTTCCAGTGGCGTTCACTCATTAGCTCAGCTGGGTTGAGTTCAGTATGTGCCCTCCACCTGCATCTCTCTCTCCACGGCCTCCAGAGCTGACAGACATTCCACCGTCAGGTTCATCTGGCCGATCACCTTCGTCTCATCATTCACGTCCAGAACTGAAATGTACAAATGAAAACAAGGATGAAACACATGTTTGTTGTTTAACGCTGCACTCAGCAATATTCCAGCTATATGGCGGCAGTCTGTAAATAATCGAGTCTGGACCAGACAATCCAGTGACTGACATCAAGAGCATCGATCTACGCAATTGGGATACGGTGACATGCTTCATGCATTAAACAACAAACAAACAAACAAAAAAACACTTTAGGTAAACCTATTAGGATGGGTATGGTGCCGACAAACCAATCGTCATAATCTGGGTGAACCTGTGATCTGAACCTCTTATCAAGGCACACCAACTCTGCACAGCAGTGCCTTAGATGACTGTCCCACCCATGCCCACTCAATATATCTAAAGCCACATGACTCCTGCGAGATACTCACTGTCCATATCTGTATCCTTGACATCCTTCTTCTTAAGTAGAATGTCCTTGACACTGACATAGACCACGCCCACATCCTCGCAGTCAGCATCCTGGTCATCCTCCGGTGGTTCACTCACCAAGGTGAACCTGATCCTGAATAGACAGTTAGAGTTAGAGTGAGTTTGGTTTAATGCCGCTCTGAACAGTTTTTCAGTTATATCATGGCACCTTAGCTTCATGTGGGAGGAAAGCCTGAAGCTAGCAGGTCTTACACATTTACCACTTTGGTGAAATCCATGGGCATCTGTATGGCGCTGACAAACTGAGAAACATTTTCAGGGCGAACTGGATTTGAACCAACAATCATAAGTTTCAGGTACGCCAAAGGGACGCAACTCTGCACAGCAAATTGCTGCGGCAAAATGACATGGCCACTTGTGCCCCCATAGAGAATGTACGGTACATTATTTTTTGAGAAATGTTGGTGAGAAATAAAAATTACAATGGTTAAGTTAAAACAATAGTGATTCAGTCAACTTTTATAGATTGGAGTGCAAACACATTTTCAACATTGTAGCATGAAAAATGTGTTACAAATGGTTTGACTGTTTATATATTGCCTGAAAAAAGAAATGATCATGACTTCAGCTTACTCCATTACTTATGAACTACAAGGACAAGATTGTATGGAAGATCAACATTTCAGCGTAGCTTCTACACCGTTATCAAGCAAGTGATCAACAGAGTGATCTTGTTTCATTCCATGCTTCACCCATCCATGTACAACTTCAATCACTTTAATTCTTCCAGATAATCCCCTGTGAAAACTACTTCAAGTAGTTCCTTGCATATTGTGTCAATGGTGCCAGTGAACAGGGTTTCAGGTCAGTTGATTGTCATTCAAAATGTCCCAAGTGAGTAATTATTGCTTAACACCACATCAGCAATCTTGCAGCCATACACGACTATCCAAATGTCTTGAAGATAGTTTTAGAATTAGCAATGTTTTTGAAGAATGTCCAATCAAATGTTGATAAATTCATAAATATATCCTCATGCCATTTGTCTGTTGCAAAATCACTGCTATAAATATATGCTTCCCATAAGAGATAGGGACCCAGTTCATTCTACTCCATTGTTTTACACTCTACTTATATGAATAAAACTCAGGCCTAAATCTTATTTATGACCATCTATTACATTCACTATTAAGAAACAGAACACTACCATACTCACATTGTATGCCACATACTGTATTTGACGTAATAAGCGCCTATAGCGATATTTGCTAATATATTGGCTCGTGAACCATCCCAATTAGAACCCCTCCCAACTGATCAATGTACACAAGACTTATTTATTCGTGTATAATACACACTCGTGTGTTATTATGCACCCTTAATTATGGGCAATTAAATTCTGGAAAATATATCTGTCATGTATGATTCGCACACACTTTTCTTTCGTCTCATTTCAGACTGTCAGCATAAACTACAAAATTTACAATCTTTCACCTGTTTTTTTTTCTTACCAAAATTATATTCTAATAAGAGCCCCATATTTCTAATTTTGAGAGCACCCTGGGTGCTTATTACATCGAATACGGTACTTGATAATTGTGTTACAACAAACCAAGAAACATTTTACACAGAAATGTCTCTATAATACAGAAGCTGATCATCAGTTACATTTCCAACTTCTAAATGCCACACAAAGACCATGTACCAAGACATAGAGAGACACTCACTTTCCTCCATCTGGATCATCAGGCAGCAACATACTGGCCAGGTACTGCCTCCTCTCATAGTTCTTCTCCATGTCCACCTGTATAGCTGTGGACAGAGAACATCTCTCAGTAACAATATTCTAGAAGCACTGGTTCCTGAAATCTTTCTTATGTTGTTTGTTGTTTTACCGACAAATTGGCAAACGTCAGACCTGTGGTTGATATTTTGAGCCACTACCAATGTCATCAGTACCTGATGACACACACTCAACCAAGTCATTGAGCTTTTCAAACCAATATATTTTAGTCACCTCTCCGAACACACCCTCAACCAACATTGAGCTTTTCAACCCAATATATTTTAGTCACCTCTCCCAACACACACTCAACCAACATTGAGCTTTTCAACCCAATATATTTTAGTCACCTCTCCCAACACACACTCAACCAACATTGAGCTTTTCAACCCAATATATTTTCGTCACCTCTCCCAACACACACTCAACCAAGTCATTGAGTTTTTCAACCCAATATATTTTAGTCACCTCTCCCAACACACACTCAACCAAATCATTGAGCTTTTCAACCCAATATATTTTCGTCACCTCTCCCAACACACCCTCAACCAAATCATTGAGCTTTTCAACCCAATATATTTTAGTCACCTCTCCCAACAAGCAACTAAATATTTAACCTGGGTCCCCACTAGATGAGAGTGAAGTGGGTATAACACTGCTCCGAACAGTAGTCAATGTCTTTGACCTGTTCCTCCTTACAAATGAAGGATGGCGAAATCATAGTTGTATCTCTTATTGCTAAATAAATAAATAACAAAGAACTTGTCAATGATTAATCAGTCTTGAGTTTTTTCTTTTTGAAATTGATTAAGAGGCACATGACTATTCGTGAGTACTGACTTTTGGTGAAGTTGTACGTGATCTGCTGGTATGGCTTGGGTTTGGGCAGTGAGAAGGGAGTCTCCGTCTCCTGGGGGTCCAGGCCGAGGAACTTGTACTCCACGAACAGCTGCTTGATGTTGTCCCGGAACATGATGGCGCAGTCCTCCTCCAGGGTCAGGTTGGAGATGATGACTGTGACGGTGTTACCCTGCAACACATCATGTCTGTAGTTGCAGCGGTGTGTATGAGATGTGTCAGTGAGTTGGGTTCAACGCAGCATTGAACAGCAGTGGTGAAACCCATGAGTACATGTCTGGTGCTGACAAACCCAGAATCATAATCAGGGTAAATCTGGGATTCGAACTGTGGTGGAGGCCATATTGAACAAATTCAGGTGATTTCATTAATGGGAACAAGCATGTAGCTTCAATGGCCCAATGATTATCACTGTTCCAGCAGTCTATCATGGTATCTATGGTATGGTACTCACTGTTCAAGCAGTCTATCATGGTATCTATCGTATCGTACTCATTGTTCAAGGAGTCTATCATGGTATCTATGGTATGGTACTCACTGTTCCAGCAGTCTATCATGGTATCTATGGTATGATACTAACTGTTCCAGCAGTCTATCATGGTATCTATGGTATGGTACTCACTGTTCAAGCAGTCTATCATTGTATCTATGGTATGGTACTCACTGTTCAAGCAGTCTATCATTGTATCTATGGTATGGTACTATGCATAGTCCTATCGAAATCACGTAACGAAATTGACATCCGGTTCGTAAACTGCCGTGCAGATTTTGGGCGATCGCAGGATTTGCAAGGCATGTCTACCGTCAATTTCACCGTCAACATATATATTCCAAATCTTTTCATGTTTTTAGACAAGGTGCTCATGTGATTTGAATTTGATGCACTATGCGAAGTAAGACCTGTTTTATTACAATGAAGATCTTTATTATAGATCAGATCGTCTTTACTCGGCGCCGCCATTTTATTTGAAGCAATTGCAAGTGATAAGAGAGGTGGAATCTGACTGGTCAATAGAAGGGACATAGAAGGGACATAATTCGTAATAGCCACTGGTGGCTCTGGTCGAACCCAGAAATCACAGCCTAGTTTGGCAAGGGTGGAAACTGGACTTTCACAGTCAGTTAACTCCCCTGACTCGGGAAGATGAAGGTATGGTACTCACTGGCTTAGCAGCTCTGATCTTCCTCTTGGATGGCAATGATTTGATCATCACAAGTCCTTCACTGTCTGATTCTATCTTTGGTGGCTCTGACTCCGACTCGGACACCTTCTCTGATGGTGGTGAGGAATGTACCCCAGGCTGTGTTTCTGTCAGCGTGTTGCCCTGACTCTCCAGTTCTTCAGTAATCTCTTCATCAATCGACTCTGTCAACATGACAAATGTAGGAGTGCTTACAACAGTCAGAAATATTACTTTGGCCTGGAATGCATGGCATATTGGCCAGGAGTGGGACAAAACAGAATGGTGTAGAAATACAACTGCAGGCAGGGGAAAACATGTCTTCCCTTGTATTAAAGTGTGATTGAGTGAGTGAGTTGGGTATGACGCCGCTTTTAACAGTATTCCAGTTATATCGCGGCGTGTCAGCTTAATGTGGGAGGAAAGCCCGAAGTGATGCAGGTCTCAGATGTTTACCACTTCGGTGAAACCCACAAGCACGGGTATGGTGCTGACAAACCTAGAAACATAATCGGGGTGAATTGGGATTCAAACCTACAATCATAGGTTTCTGACGTGTCCGAAGGGATGCAACTCTGCACAGTGAATCGCGGCACCTTAGACGACTGGGCCACCCGTGCCCCTCCTTGTATTAAAGGTGGCGAGGTGAACAAACACTGGTAGCCTACCTCCAAATATCCTACAAGCATGTGACAAATTAAAGGAAGACACCAAAAGTGACCTAAAGTGACATATGACCTGAGGAGGTCACAATGCAATTCCTGTTCTGCATACAATAGTAGGGCTTATGAGTAAAAAGAATAATGTGGTGCTAAACAACAGCACAATAATATACGCCTAGTTGTGGGACAAGCAGTTCTTGGCATGAACGCCTTATTACCTTATCCTGTCATTCAAAGGAATTTCACACACATTCAGCCAAGTCAAAACTGAGAGTCGGTCTTCTAAACTGATCAGTTAAATATGTTCCAGATCTCTGACCTGTGGAGCACTGCCAGATCATTTAAAACCAATTTTGCCCCAAGGCATTCAACTTAGCTTTGTATGAGGCTGAATTTCAGGTTTGTTAAATTATCAGCATTCGTCACCACTAGCCCCTTTCCGTAACCTGCAAGAAGACTCGTCCCCCTATCGATGAATGTTATGTGCGACAAACCAATCAGTATGCGATTTCAAGTTCTTCGTCCAAGAATCCCTCAGAAATAAATTTTGATTATACATATGTCTTGCATCTAAATATATACCCAAAATACAGTTAAATGTGTTCAATCATACTGTATGATTCCACATGTTCCGATGTGCTTTAAATTGCATCTGAAATATATATAATATGTGGGGAAATATATGTGAACCATTACGCAACAAGTTGACAATTGTTTTAGGTATGCTCGTTTGCGCTCAGACGGAACCCGGTCGCAAAAATTGGCCATGAGAGGGGCCCGAGTTGCTATTCGGCTCGTCCCGGAATAACACGAGTTGGTCACGAATGTTAAGGTCAGATTATGATTGACTATTTTCCTGATTGTAATTTATTGACAAGTTACTCATGCTTCAGTGGAATTCACCTACGTCTGTGTCAAAACTTTAGAGTGTTCATAAATTTTCTTTGATTTTGCCTACTTTGCATTATCAGCATTGCCTTGATAACCAACAGATGTGGCAGAAACAGATGTGGAAGGTCACACTTGGTATGTCTAGTAAGCATTAAGACGGGTCACGTCACTGATGACCATTGTTATTGTATTAATGCTCCATTGTGATCATCATGAGAATAGACAAAATATACCTTGCTTCGATGCTAAAATGGTGGATTTTAGGGTGTGTAAAAAACAGATAAATAGCTTTTGTTTAATTTAACAATTATCTTACAACTAGTTTCAAAATGTATGTAACTTTGCTTTGTTGGATGAAGTTTGAAACAACTTGTAAGATAAATGGTATCTGATAGCCACTTGTGTAGTAATCACTGTATACACAGGGCTTTCTCCTGTACAACTTATGTCTTAAATAAGGGGTCCCAGCTCTGTTTCTGAGGGAATATGAAATATAAGTTTACAAAACATCCTAAGGTAGAAAACTGTTTTAGCGATAATCAACCTCACTCACCTTCATCTTCAAACATTGTGTCATCCATCGGCTTCGGAGATTGCTGAAAACACAACCTCTGGCAGTCATAAATCTAAATCCAGCCAACAGTGGATACAACCAAGTTTGGTTATAGTGATTCTTTCTCACTGATCCAGGATATTATACATCCTTTCTGTTTTGATAAATTCCCTGGACACATCCAACACCATAGCATGGTTTTAGAGTGAGTGAGTGAGTGAGTGAGTAAGTTGGGTTTAATGCCACTTTAAACAGTATTCCAGTTACATCACGGCATGTCAGCTTAATGTGGGAGGAAAGCCTGAAGTGATGCAGGTCTCAGACGTTTACCACTTCGGTGAAACCCACGAGCACAGGTATGGTGCTGACAAACCTAGAAACATAATCAGAGTGAACCAGGATTCGAACCCACAATTATAGGTTTCTGGCATGCCTAAGGGAAGCAACTCTGCACAGCGAATCGCTGTGCCTTAGATGACTGGGCCACCTGTGACCCCACATGGTTTTAGAAGGGATGTAGCCATTCCAACTTCGTTCCAAAATTCAATTCCAAAATGAAGCTCTGTTGGCAAATTGGTCAAAGATCTAATGGAGATTAATCAATTAGACAATTCTGATCCATCAATAGCTGACTTGGAACAAAAGCAAATGAGGAATCCTTGCAAATAATCTCGAAGTGACTGTGACATAAAAATGGATGTCACCTAATATTACAGCAATATTTTAATGGTAAATTCCATGCCAAAAGGCATTTATCAAAAAACAAATGAGTACAGTCTTACACCTTTAGTAATATTCAAGCAATATCACCAAAGATAGGTTTATAGGTTCATGGAATCATAATCAGAAGTTTGGCATGATGAGCTGATGCCATAACGACTGGGCTACCCTCATTAAAAACTCTATACACGATTTCAAGGAAATATAAAGAGCATACCTTAGGAGTTACCTCTCCTGCTTTGGAATCTGAAAGAAACAACATACTTTATAGTGTCAGTAAACATCAAGGTAACAGTCACAACAACACTGTTGCATTTTGACCAAGCTGAAAGGTGTGGATTTGGGACATTATAAATATGCACATCATTATTATTATTATTATTATTATTGCAATGTTTATATACTTTCAAATATCAGCATATATAACAAATAAAATATCTTTAATTTATCACTGATTATCATCTATTTTCATACATTACCATTTATCGGTTTCATTAAAATTTCTTACATGTGGTTAATTGTTGACATTTCTTTCTCAGCTTTACTTTTATTAATGCTATGATATTAATAATTATTTCCTATTTGAAGACTAAAACATTATTATACTGAACTCCATCTGAAAAAAATGTACAAATCATAAAAGACATGATAGTAATGTTATTGTACCTGTACCACATCGCATGTCACAATACCATGGAGTTAGTACAGTTAGCGTACAGCTACTCTAGGCAGACAGTTAATGTACAGCAATTGAATAAAAGTTGGTTGTCATATGTACAGTTAGTAATGTTACAAATTAGAAACAATATTCATACAATACTATACATGTGAAGCGAGACACTGATTGTTATACACAGATGACACAGTCGTGGTAATGGTATGTTAACGTGACATTGTGTCGGGGGTCATCACCAGAGTCAGGACATCCTTGACCACACAGAAGGGGGACATTTCAGATGATGAAAGATGATGTGAGGGTTGATGACAAGTATCAGGAATAGGTGTTTAATTTGATCACCAAAAATAAAATAATTAATGAAGAAAACAACCTTATCTTGAGAGATGTTCAACCACAGTGATGCAACTTGACCAACATTTAGTAGCCCATTCTTTATAGCCACTAGACTGAAGCCTGACTTTAGTCAAATTCTGTTTGGTCTAGTAACCTCAGCTAATAGTAGTCCAATAATAATACTAGTGAGTGAGTTGGGTTTAACACCGCTCTTAAAAGTATTCCAGTTATATCAGCTTAATGTGGGAGGAAAGCCCGAAGTGATGCACGTCTCAGACGTTTACCACTTCATTGAAACCAACGAGCACGGGTATGGTGCTGACAAACCTAGAAACATAATCAGGGCGAAACGGGATTCGAACCCACAATCATAGGTTTCTGGTGTGGCCAAGGGACGCAACTCTGCAGAGCAAATTTTCAGCACCCTAGATGACTGGGCCATCCGTAACTCTAATGTTTTTTATGCTAAGAGCCATGTTCTGAGTAGTATTCTCAGAGTTTTAGGCACATACTGGTAGAGGGAAGTGACAAACATACATTTGTGATTCGTCTAAAGTCACACTCAGCAATTTTCCAGCCTTATGACCAGAAAATCCAGTGAGTGATATTGTGAGCAACAATCTACACTGTGTACAATGGCATATAAACAACCAGGTGTGACTACCAGGGTGCTGTTGTACAAAACAACCTTAGGGCTACGACTGTCGTAAGTCTATGTTAAGGTATGGGAGTTGCGATCACCTTAGCGCTAAGATCCCTTTGTACATAGGCACCCAGATCCATTTGGCTGCATCTTACACCCAGCACAGGTTCCTGGGGACCTATTCCAACCCCAAATCCCCCAAGGAGTATTACCCCTAAATTACTACTTAAACATGTTGAATATTGCCAGCACACAAACTGACTAGAATTGGCAGATTTGTACCAAGTTCAGTCCATGCCAAAGACGTTTGTGTCTGCTGTCTTTAACATTATTTTCAGTCGATCGTAGTGTTATCAAATAGACTATAATCAGCTGAGCTTACTATACCAAACAGAAAATTACTAGACTTGGGCTTCGGACTAGTGGCTAAAGTCGCAGACTGCAAGCTGCATCACTGACCACGATTCAGACACGAACCCAACAATATACATGTATTTTAACTATTCCCTTTCACCACAATATCTGTTATGTCAAGATTAGCTGTATTCCCGAAGCTATGGCTGTTGTGGGTTATTGACATCTAACATTTATTACACATACCAACTTCCCAATGAAAACTCATCACAATTTGTGACATAACTAGGTACTGAAATAAACCTGTTTTTACAAGCATTGAACATGCAGGATTAACTGGCATTTAATAGTTATCACACTAAACTGATGTACAGTATGTTAATAATATTTCACGCCATTCATTGTTTATCAAAATCTATATTCATAAATATATCTCTGTACTCATTTGTTTCAATCATCTTCCCGAGGCAACAGTTACTGACTCTAAAAAAACCTGTTTCCACCATTCCCGAACTAGGCTGGAATTTCTGGGCTCGACCACAGCACCACCATCGGCTATTACGGGTAATGTCCTTTCTGTGTCCCTTCTATTGACCAATCAGATTCCACCTCTCATATCACTTGCATTTGCTTCAAACAAAATGGCACCGCCCAGGGAAGATGATCTGATTAATAATAAAGGATCTATATTGTAATAATTCAGGTCTTACTTCACAAGTGCATCAAATCATGTGAGCACCTTGATTAAAAAACTTGAAAAGATTTGGAAAATATCTGTTGAAGCTAAGTTGACGGTACACATGCTTTGCAAATCCTGCAATTGACCGAAATCTGCACGGCAGTTTTCGAACTGGATGTCAATTTTGACACGCAATTTACATTTGACCATGCATTGACTCGTTAGTCCAGCCAAAACATAAAATAACTCCATAATTCCAGCCTAGTTCAGCAAGGGTGGAAACTGGACTTTTATAGTCAATTAACTCCCTTGCCTCAGGAAGATGGGTTTCAATTAGCTTCTTGGTAGTGTTGAAACCTTTCAAATCAAACATGTTTCAAAATATGTATGGTAAAGGTATGGTTCAATAAAACACTTGTCATTAATTGCCAAACAATGGAGCCATGCAGAAACAACCACTGACCATCACCACCAGAAAAAGAAAATTCATATCAGATATTTGAAAGAATTTGTTTCATTAAAGGCCATAGATCAAATTAAACATGGCAACCACTCAAATTACTTTTCAATTCAATCTGAATTGTATGAGCACAGATTCCAGACAAGCATTTCAAGACACAAGATCACCTGAATTTAATGCCAGGTAAGCTAAAAATACGGGTACCTTAATTTTAGAAAAGCCTATACCATTTTTCTAGCAAAAGGAAGACATTTAATTTCAAAATATACAAATCAATAACCAATGATGGCAATAAAATATGTACACAGCTGATGCTCTGTGACTTGATTGACAGCTGATTGACACATGTCAGTTACAATATGTAGGACGTCCAGGTGCCGGTGCAGCACATGAAGTGTTATTCATGCCCACGTATATAACATAAAGATTACAAGTTGCCCTGCATGCACATGCTTCCTACCACTTCGGGATAATTGTGTCCGCGCCTTGGGTCTGGGGACTGGCTTTCGCTTGCCTAAAACAGGAGTTAACACTGATGTCATAACGGACCAATAGCTTATAGAAAATGGAATGATTTTTCCTCCTTTCTGCCACTGGGTGTAATGACTTCATCAGTAGGAATCAATCAATATCAGAACGATGCTGCTTGTACTGGAATTGATTCCTGAGATTCGCAGGGTGTACAATAATGGTATCTAATACCAAACATGCCTAAGCAACCCAATCATTGACAGTATGTCGCCATGGTAACACTCACAAATACAGACATAACACAAAATTGATTATTTATATCAATTCAAGGTTCCCATCGATTTCAGTGCTTTACACAAAACAGTAATCTTCTACAAAAAGTTTCCCATTCATAATCTGATTTTTCAAAAAGTTGTCTTTACTTTAAGAAGATTTGTTATATCCACCAATATCCATCCATACGTGGATGTTCACAAAACAAGCAGGAGGCAGTGAAAATGACCTTCTAGTTCCTTAAACTCTGAGGCCAGATTTTTTTTCTTATTATTTTCACTTAAAGATTTTTTGCCCAAAACATCAGATAAGTAGGTCAGGAAATGTTATTGTTTTTTATTTCCAATTTTAATTTTTCTTTTTATATTTCTTCTCATGATTGATCATAATTCACCCAGTGTGAAGTTTTAAAATAAATTTTCAACAGGTTGTAAATATAATATTTTTATAAACATTTTACTTATTTTTGGTTGTCAGAATAAAAAACACACTGATTTTCATTTTTTAATCATATTTTCACATTTTAATTTTTGGGAGTTGGTGGATTCGTAAACTAAGTTTTACAAAAAGTCTGGTCTAATTTGAAAGCACATTTTTCAAAAGTGATGACACAAGGAATTAATAATAGGATGCTTACTATAACCTGATCTAAACATTCAGACATTGATGCGAGTGTGCAGATGTTTAATGTACAACAAATAAACAAATGCTGACAGACTGTTTTACAACATGATGTGTGTAAAAAAGATACTTTAGTGCAAATGATAAATGACAAATTTGCTAAATTCTCAAGAAAGTGAAGAAATAATCTGAAAAAGATAATGAAAGTAAAATAATCATGAAATCAATGACTCGGTATGAACATCACATTCAAGGCATCTTGAAAAGCAATGGGAGAAGAACAATACTTAACTACCGTATTCGACATAATAAGCGCCCCGCTCTAATAAGCGCCCACGACAGTATTTGCAAATATATTTGCTAGTGAAAATCCCAATTAGCACCCCTTCCGATTGATCAATGTTCACAAGACTTATTTATTCGCGTACAATACGCACTCGTGTGTTATATGCACCCTTAATTATAGGCAATTAAATTCTAGAAAAATATATCTGTCGTACATAAACATTTCAGGCTGTCAGCATAAACCAATTTAATCTTAGATTTATCTTTCAACTCTGTTTTTTTTCACCAAAATGATATTCTAATAAGAGCCCCCTATTTCTAATTTTATGAGCGCCCTGAGCGCTTATTACATTGAATACGGTAAATGTATAGGCATGAACTAGAAAAACATTTAAAATGTTGTGAGTGATTGAGTGAGTAGGGTATTAAACCACTTGTTGAAATATTCCAGCACTATGTGCCACTGCAGGAGACTGTGCTTCACACATTGTACCCATGTAGGGAGTCATCTGGAACTCACTAAACTCAGATCTTTTACTGAAATATAATATTGTCGGTCGGTTAGCCTTGTGATTAAAGCATTTGATCGTCAAGCCGAAGACATGGGGTCGATTCCAGACATGGGTACAATGTGTGAAGCCCATTTCTGGTGTCCCCGCCGTGATATTGCTGGAATATTGCTAAGAGCGGCGTAAAACCATACTCACTCACTCCATAGAAAGTCACAACAACTGAACGATGAACAAACTTTGATTGTCCTGCATCAATAAAAGATCTTAAAACAATCAGTCAACAATTCCTCATCATTTCTTAACCACCTCATTTTGGAAATTTTGATTTTAACAAAAGAAAACACACACTTAACACAATGGTACCTTTGATGTGTACCTATTAAGTGTAGATGCCATGGAGCTCAGTAACTGCAGGTTGTATAAAATATCAACAAGAGTACAAGAGTGTGGCCTTTATTATTTACATTCGGAACTGGAAGTTTAACTTTGTTTATGAGATACAGAAATCAGGTATTGTCTGTATGCGTCATTCACTCATATCAAGAATGACTGATTTGAAAGTTCTCTTGACATAACCTACAGATCTTTCCACAGAGAGGGATTGTATTGGAGTAGAAACATTTATTAATAAGAATGTAGTGTGACAAGTGACACTTTAACCACTAGTCTAATCCATGGCCCCACCAAATGTGCTGGTAAATTGCAAAATGAAATGGAAAATAGGGACTGACGATACATTTTTATGGAAAACTATAGGACCAATAACGCTAATGACAAACTGGTCATGGTATGCCTGAAATGACCTTATAAAAATTCAGGGTTAGAAATCTATTTTTTAAACCATATGACAAATAAAGTCAGCATCAACATGGCACCAATGGCAGAATTTTGTTATTTTAGTTTACCAGGCATCAAAACAAATTCCAAGATGGATTTTTCCATGTAATTTCGAAACCTGAACCAAAGGTCCATCTCAGCTTTGGAAAAATAATTTTATGTAAAATGGGAAACAATCTATTTAATTTCCTCATTCTAACAACTGTAATAGATAAACAGGTAAAAGAAGAACTAAGACATTAAAATTCAGTAGATAAACTATGACAAATGATCAAATTTGATCAAACACATCTTTCCCATTTTCACACCATCTTCTCCATACACAATGCTTATATCCAACAAAAACAGATGTAACTATCATGAACACTGAAATATGAAGAGAACCTGAAAATGAAACTCTGGAACGGTGAATGTGAGAATACAGACCTTCTAAGGAACTATAGGTCAGGTGCAGAGAATGCATCCTCACTTATCAAGGGTATTAACTTTATTCTGCCTTTATAAATACCCCAGACCCATTCACTACCATTGCTTTGCATTGAGCTTAATTTCAAAGGGACCCAAGAAGATCCGGGTTAGACTAGGTCTTCAGCAACCCATGCTTGTTGAAAGAGGCAGCTATGCTGGTCGTATGAGGCGACTAACGGGATTGGGTGGTCAGACTAGCTGACTTGGTGTATGTCAGCGAATCCCAATTGCGTGGATTGATGCTCATGCGATCAATTCCTGGATTGTCTGGTCCAGAGTTGATTATTTAAAGACCGCCATCACATAGCTGTAATATTGCTGAGTGCGGTGTAAAACAACAAACAAATATTTTGAAAGGCATGACAAAAAATAACCATTCAATCAAATTACAAATTATATTTCCGAGCAAAGTTAGAGAGTATAGATGGACATGGTGAAGTTACTTCTGAAGCGTTGCCATGGCAGCAAATGGGTCCAGGGTATTTATTACTGTAGAACGGTTATAATACCCTGGATAACTGAGGATGAAGTGTGAGTTGAGCGTGCAGATAACTAACAGAACTTCTGCTAACTCAAGCTGGGGACGTAAGCAGCTACAGTTGGTTACCTTCCTCCGACCCCGATTCAATCATCATGTGACGATTACGGGGGGAGGGGGAGGGTTTAGGCTGAAGCTCCTCCCCCTCGGTGTCATCCTCCGTGGTCACATGACCTCCACGATGATCCTGTGAGCCTAGTGGGACTATAAGATGGGAAGGGACTTAACTTCAGAGGTTATTATTAGCACAAAATATTATCATAGATAACAGCTAGTATGCCATAACAAGTGCTTGTTAAGTATTAAAAGTCTCAAAACACAGCAACGTCTTTAAAGGTATCCCTATGATTAAAGAATTAATAATAAATCCTGAAATTCAAAAGCAAACATTTGGAACTATATTTATGCGGGGTTCACACACAGGGTATCAATTTCACATGCAGATAACACATCCTCAAAAACCAGGACTAACATAGCGAACATCCACAACATTAATCAAACAGTATCCATGGTAACTAATGCTGTACACACATGATAACGTAGATGTGCCTGTAACATTTTTAAGAGATGCAAAAAATATTCTAAGCTATTCCACTTAATAAGCTAAAGATATGAAAAATGAGTGTTTTTTTGTGGCTGAGTCTGATTGATCTGAAGCTTTTGAAAAAAATTATTCCAAGAAAATGTGAAGTTATGTACCTTGTGTCTTCCAAGTGTCAATAAAAACAGTTTACATTTTCAGAAGCCTCTTTATCATCTAAATTATGGATGTCTAGTGTGTGTGGAAAAAACAAATAGACTCTGCCTGTTATTTTACTAAAGTTAGTATCATTTCTATAATGTTCTCAACCTAAATTGACAAAATAATACAAGTTCAGCATCAGCTACGATATATATTTAATATGATGCATCTTTAATGTTCGTATTCCTCATCTCATTTGATTCTCAGAACATCCTGATCCCTCGGGATAATAAAGTACTATCTTATCTAACAGTCCCTCCCTATGTCACCTTAGTTTCTATGTGATCACTGGTTTCGGAGGATGGAAGGGTATTAACAGATCATGCAACATGCATATTCAGCTTTAAAGAGATTATTCATTTCCAGAAGAGACTGCAATTTCAAATTACACAGCACCTCCAAATGAATGTGAGTTGACAGACTTGGCGGTGAGAGTACACGACACACAACACCTGACTTACTCATCAGTTCGTCCTCACTGGGATACGTCTGTGGTACCTCAGTGGCCGGTACCGCAGTGGCCAGTACCTCAGTGGCCGGTACCTCATTGGTTGGCACTTCCTCCTCCCCACGCCCACTAGAGTCTACCTCTGTTACCATGGTTACACAATTTTGTTAGGCATACCGTTAAGTATCAACATAGAACTTCACACTTCCAAAATATTCAAATGTGTATGGACCAGGGTGCCGTTGTACAAAGCGATCTTAGCTCTAAGGTGATCTTAACTCCCTGCCTTAACACAGACTTACGACAGTCCTAGCGCTAAGGTTGTTTTGTACGACACCCAGGTGTATTTACATCAGCATTACAATTTTCGATCATCGCAACATTGGATGATATTTACTTAAAAAAGATGTTATTACTTTTGACTCATCTACTTATAGACTTAGCTAGAGACGATCAACATGAGAGAAGTTTCATGATTTTATAACCTTTCAATGGGACATTATGCTTTATCATTACTAAAATATAAAACCGTATTCTGGACATTTTAGATGACATTCATTCAATGTCCTAGAAAATCGACAGATCCAAAATATTGTTACTTTTTTTCAAATTTTTTGTTGTTTCAATTCAGCACTAATTTAATAATAATTTTGGCTTAAATGGTAGACAAAAAAAGTGTTGATACTGTTTTAAAGTGACAGTTGAGTGATGTTGAAATGTTTTCCTAATCAGTTAGTTCAAGTCAGATGATGCTGGATCACAAGGTGTTTTTGATATCTAAAAGCTCAAAGCCAGCAGTTTTTGCCAGCCTCACATAACAACCCAGCACAAACTCTCTGGCACTATATCTACATGCTGTAGTAACACTAGTAGCACCAGTAACACGAGCTAGCACAGAAAAGTCAGTCAACTATTCCAACACTAGCTTTCACAGCATGCTTGTCAGTTAGACTACATCTAAACGCTAGGCTCACAACAACACACTGCAGAACTTTATCACAGGACAACAAAATTTAACTCGGATTTCTCTTGATAAAACACCAAGGACTCAGATTTAATCATTCAATAATTTGTGGCAGGTTGTCTAATCCATGGCAGAAAAGCATGACGCCCATGTTGCATGACGTCATGACATCACATACGCATGTCACTAGCACTAACAAGTGAAATCGAAACACTCCCTCTGTATCCACCAGTTAAGATACTCAAAGTTTCTGAGTTGATTCTTGTCTCCACCTTCAGTATGTCCTGAAGCATGCTCTACTAATCAAAGAATCTGTTTCTAAAATGGGGGTGGTGGGGTGTATGTAAGGTGGTGATATTAATACAAAAACATACTTCTACATTACTGGGTATGCAGGATGTTCGCCATTGACGTGTGAGGCCACTGATTTGAGAACCTGCCATGGATCAAAGTCTCCCTGAGGATCCAAGTCTTACATATGACTTCTGAATGCGTAGTATTGATTGTTTACCGTCATGTTCAACCAGCTAAACAAGACCTACACGACACTGGTCAGCCATGCATAATCCACTACCTATAGAGCTATATGGTTGTGTTGCAGCAACCAGTTGGGTAATGTCTAATACAGTATGTGTCTCACCTCCTGTTTGCTCCTGTACTGAGGAGATGGACTCCGACATTCCTGGCATGAAGCCGGAGACTGCCTGGGACACTGCATCCTGGATCATCGTCTCCTGCTCCTCGTCCTCCATCGTTACAGCGACGGCTGGTATGTTCATCTGGACCTTCCGGCGTGCTGCTGGCTTCGGCTGTCAGCACAAGCGTAAACATGTTCAGACTTAGACTGATGCCCAAATAGTTGATAATTGTGTAAATACGACACAGGCATTTTAAGCAGGGATTATCTAGGATTCCAAACTATGTGTCTTAACAGGCAAATTGGATTCTTTTTACTGTTTTCATTCTTGAAAAATTTAGGAATTCATTCAAATTGGAAGTTTTTAGTCACTCTCTGCAGATTTGGGGCCAAATATCGGCCTATGAGCAGGTCTAGATAAATCCCTGCGGCCAGGGATCGAACTCCCAACGTTCCACTCTCTAGGCAGACACACTATCCACTAGACCAAGGAGTCAGTCAATAAACTATGAGATTCCTCTCCAGACTATTACGACAGGGAGACAATGATTTTCCAGAGCATGCTTCATGCAAGAATGTTAATGCATGTTAAAATGGTCAACAAAGATGTTCAGACCAAACACAAAGCAGTGTTCGAATTGAAGCATCTTTCTTTCAACCCAAATTGGAAAAGGAACCCCTCCACCATAATTTCTAACACCACACAGTATTCATACATGCTAGGCAGCCTCATCATCAATGGAAATGTCGTTAAATACAGAACAGAACTTGGCTAATGGTCGAGGAATAAATATCATGATTTATGATAAATAAATGTCATGATTGTCAGTAGTTACAGGTTTCTGTATACACGACCGTCACCTGTGAATACATTGGGCTACTATGCATAGTGTAGTGGTTGAGTGTATCTATTTTTAGTCTAATGAAACGAGGCAGAGTATAACTCACAGATTTCCAATGAATCCTACTTACACCCATGCATGATTGTTTGTTGTTTCGCCCCACTCAGCAATATTCCAGCTATATGACAGCGGTCTGTTAATAATCATGTCTGGACCAGACAATCCAGTGATTGACATAATGAGCATCGATCCACGCACTTGGGATACGATGACATGCAACAACCAAGTCAGCGAGCCTGACCACCTGATCCCGTTAGTCGCCTCTTACGACAACTCACAAGCATAGTCGCCTTTCACGGCAAGCATGGGTTGCTGAAGACCTGTTCTACACTGGAATCTTCACGGGTCCCCTATGCATGAGCTCTGTTCGAACCCTATCACTGCCTGACATTGGAGCCGTAGAGCAGATACCACAAGGCTATGGCTCATGTTGAACACAATGACAAGCGAGAAACATAGCTGTTAGTGAGACATAAAGTGATTGTTCACTGGTCTCAGGACTCTGTGACTTCCTTCTCAATGGAACCAGGCTGTCACTTGATTCACAGAAACATAGCTGTTAGTGAGACATAAAGTGATCGTTCACTGGTCTCAGGACTCTGTGACTTCCTTCTCACTGGAACCAGGCTGTCACTTGATTCACAGAAACATTGCTGTTAGTGAGACATAAAGTGATTGTTCACGGGTCTCAGTACTCTGTGACCTCCTTCTCAATGGAACCAGGCTGTCACTTGATTCACAGAAACATAGCTGTAAGTGAGACATAAAGTGATCGTTCACTGGTCTCAGGACTCTGTGACTTCCTTCTCAATGGAACCTGGCTGTCACTTGATTCACAGAAACATTGCTGTTAGTGAGACATAAAGTGATTGTTCACTGGTCTCAGTACTCTGTGACCTCCTTCTCAATGGAACCAGGCTGTCACTTGATTCACAGAAACATAGCTGTAAGTGAGACATAAAGTGATCGTTCACTGGTCTCAGGACTCTGTGACTTCCTTCTCAATGGAACCTGGCTGTCACTTGATTCACAGAAACATTGCTGTTAGTGAGACATAAAGTGATTGTTCACTGGTCTCAGTACTCTGTGACCTCCTTCTCAATGGAACCAGGCTGTCACTTGATTCACAGAAACATAGCTGTAAGTGAGACATAAAGTGATCGTTCACTGGTCTCAGGACTCTGTGACTTCCTTCTCAATGGAACCAGGCTGTCACTTGATTCACAGAAACATAGCTGTTAGTGAGACATAAAGTGATTGTTCACTGGTCTCAGGACTCTGTGACTTCCTTCTCAATGGAACCTGGCTGTCACTTGATTCACAGAAACATAGCTGTTAGTGAGACATAAAGTGATCGTTCACTGGTCTCAGGACTCTGTGACTTCCTTCTCACTGGAACCAGGCTGTCACTTGATTCACAGAAACATTGCTGTTAGTGAGACATAAAGTGATTGTTCACTGGTCTCAGTACTCTGTGACCTCCTTCTCAATGGAACCAGGCTGTCACTTGATTCACAGAAACATAGCTGTTAGTGAGACATAAAGTGATTGTTCACTGGTCTCAGGACTCTGTGACTTCCTTCTCACTGGAACCAGGCTGTCACTTCATTCACAGAAACATAGCTGTTAGTGAGATATAAAGTGATTGTTCACTGGTCTCAGGACTCTGTGACCTCCTTCTCAATGGAACCAGGCTGTCACTTGATTCACAGAAACATAGCTGTTAGTGAGACATAAAGTGATTGTTCACTGGTCTCAGGACTCTGTGACTTCCTTCTCACTGGAACCAGGCTGTCACTTCATTCACAGAAACATAGCTGTTAGTGAGATATAAAGTGATTGTTCACTGGTCTCAGGACTCTGTGACTTCCTTCTCACTGGAACCAGGCTGTCACTTCATTCATGGGTAAGAAATAGTGACTACACCACAAAGCTTCCATCTGTATTCCCAGATGATGGATTAACGTACTGTATACATACCCAGGACGTATTGACGATGATAATGAAAAAGATGCTGTTTCTTTATTACATGACTAGCTCCCGTGTGAGGTAAACAACAAATTGACAAATTTGACTCCATAACAAAAATCTTTTTCACCTGTGTTGCAGCAACTGAGGACAGTTCACTTTCCATTATCTGAGACTCCACTGCCATCAATCGATCTTTTTGCATGGGAGTTGACGTGGCTGTAGGGCCTTGTTTTGCAAACTTGGCAGCCATGCGGGTCTTGGGGAGAGGGGAAGACACAAGTTTCTCCGGAGGTTCATCAGGAGCGTAGTCCGGCTACAAACATGCAGGGAACATAAGCATGATTAGGTGTGGTGTCATGTTTATTTGTTTATTGTTTAACGCCGCACTCAGCAATATTCCAGCTATATGACGGCTTGTTATGCCATGACAGATTAACTGTAGTAAAATGAAAGCATCACATTGTCCTTAACCCTTTTTGAGTAGTACATAGGGAGATCGCTGCAAATAGCTGAAATATTGCTAATGTGTCTGAAAGCACTACTCAGTCACTCATTGCAATCATTTGTGAGGTGAGGTGAAATTGGGTTTAATGTCGCGTCCAAGATTATTGCACTGATATGGCGACATGCATGCATGTGTGGCTGCTTAAACTAGTCCAGACTGATGCCGATTTATAGTGCTAGCCCATTGAGATATCATGCCGCAGTTTAACATGAATACCCCACTCAGACACAGTATACTGACTCCTAGTCAAATAGTCCTTGTTTTAGCCCCTTTATGCCGAGCGCCAGACAGGGTAACAACAAGTACCATCTTTTAACGTCTTTTGGTATGACGTGGCCGGGGATCAAACCCTGAACCTTCCGCTCTCCGGGCTGACGCCCTACCATTAGGGGGGCAGTCGGGTAGCCCTATGGTTAAAGCATTCGCTTGTCACGCCGAAGACCCGGGTTCGATTCCCGACATAGGTACAATGTGTGAAGCCCATTTCTGGTGTCCCCCACCATGATATTGCTGGAATATTGCTAAAAGCAGCGTAAAACCATACTCACTCACTCACTCACTCACCCTACCATTAGACCACGGAGGCGGTGCTCCAATCATTTGTGAAATAGTAAAACAGAAATAGGCCAGCGTACCGCTCGTGGTGACCTGACGGGCATCTTCGGGGGAATGTAGGTGTACTGCCAGCGGAGCTCCAGGTTGATGCAGCCGTTAGTCTTGCCGTCAGCTCGCTTCAGTTCAAACACACCCGACACACCCTTGTCATGAGCCAGAGGAATGAGGGGGATCTGGGCAAGGCCCAGGTATGCCGTGTCGTCGGGGTCGGTGTCGTCAAACACATACACATTCAGGTGCTGTGGGAAGAATATACCAAACATTTATTCATGTAATCTGTATTTCTATCTGAAAAACAACAACAACAACAACAACAACAAAACAGCATTATCACTCTCCCCCACAACAACAACAACAACAACAACAACAAAACAGCATTATCACTCTCCCCCACAACAACAACAACAACAACAACAACAAAACAGCATTATCACTCTCCCCCACCATGGGACACATTAGAATTTTGTTTGTTCATATAGTTGTGAATATAAACTATGAAAAAGATTCCTATTCAGATTGGCACTTGGGCCGCCTTATGTCATCAGAAAAAAATGATTAAATGTGAAATTAATACACACAAATGACCCCTTCTCTGAAAATAACTCGGTCTTGATAAGTATCTCTTAGACAAACCAACTTCTGTAGTTTCTGAGAAAACTTGTCCCCATTGCACACACTATGCACAAAGTTGAGCATGGAGCAAGGGATATTACTCTGGAAAAAATGAACTTACGACACCAATTTTTAAACTCATTTGCGATAATGACCAGTGAAATCAGTGTGTTAGATTTCATTTCTCTGACTTAAACGTTTTTTGAGAAAATTTGTCCCCTTTGAGAAGACGACAGACAGGCTGCATTCCTACAATGATTGTAAGCCCTCCTGCGAGGTGTTACAATCGTTGTAATACCTCCTGCGAGGTGTTACAATCGTTGTAATACCTCCTGCGAGGTGTTACCACAATTTCAAAAACTCCATATCGAGTTACACAAACAGCCAGTAGGTTTATAACACAGTATATACAACACCATGATTTGTTTGTTGTGTAATGCTGCACTCAGCAATATTCTGGGTCTGGACAAGACGTCAGTGGAGACGTCTTAAGCCACGATCCACACAAATTGAGATGCAATGGCATGTAATCAACCAAGTCATCAAGCCTGACCACCCTATTCATTTAGTCTATCCATTTAGCTGCCTCTTACATTGGTTGCTTGGAATCTATATTCTTACCCAGAATCCCCACAGGTGGCAAGTATTGAAGATGTAAATAAATATGAATATTAAAAAAATTAAGTTGTAAGTATGCATGAGAAAAACTGTACATTAACTATTTTGGGCAAAGTTGTGAACATACCACAGTTCTGAGATACTGGTCCAGATCACTTGTCATCGGCACAGGGTACGTCTTGTGGTCATTGAACTCAGGGTTGTTAGTGTTGGGCAGAATCATGGAGTCATGATCATCGAAATCGAAAAACTTGTAGACACAGTAAGGAGAGGGCTGCACATCTGTAATAACAAGAATGTTTTTGTACTAAAACCACAACCTGCACATACAAGACACTAAAAACATTTTCAATTGTCATTACCAATGTACTGCTAACCTGCTACGATAATAAAAATGAGTCACGAGTTAACATGATATAGTCGTACAGTTGGCGCCACTGATGCAGATTTATAGTGCTTGCTGAGATACCATGCTACAGTTTAACATGAATAACCCACTCAGTCACAGTATGACTCCAAGCCTATCAGTCCTTGTATCAGCCCCTTAATGCTGAGCTCCAGACAGGGTAACAACAAGTACCATCTTTTAACGTTTTTTGGTATGACACGGCTGGGGATCGAACCCCGGACCTTCCACTCTCTGGGCGGACGCTCTACCACTAGACCACGGAGGCGGTCGTTTTCTGTCGTAAATGTTGCAACTTTGTAACCACCACTTATGTTATGAGATTGAAGTAACTGCAAGCCATGAAATACTGTGATTACCGAGTTGGTTCAACTCCATGATACCATAACTGGTATGAATCGACGGCCTGTGGCATGATATGGCGTCACGGTGGCCGTTGGATGAACATGGCGAAAGAAAAGCGACAGTGGTCATTTTGATTGACTGCAGTATTTTGCTAAATGCCATATTCTGAGCGACGGGTGTATACATGTGGTTATGAAACTCTTCAAGGATTGCTCATGAATCTGCCCATAGACAGCCATAATTCCTAGAGCATCAATGCCCGCCTCGTACACTTTGTGTGGCACGGACACAGTGGTTTGAATATGTTTGGGAAAACCCTGCTGCGGGAGATGGGTGACATCATATTGCTTTATTTCTATCCAGGTAATAACATTCACTTAATCGACAAGTTAAAGAAACAATTTCCCCGATCAATAATGGATGTGGATGCACCATCAGCTCTTGACATCTCCAAGAATGATGTTACCAAGGTTACGTTAGTTCACATGGTGAGGCAACTTGAACATCGTCATGACGTCTTGCCATTATGACGTCTCAAAAATGTATACTTTATCACTGGATGAAGTACAGTCGGCGCCTTTGATCTTTTAGCAAAGCATCTTAGAATGCATCAATATCTTTGCCCCTATGGATATTACAGTGATAAACATGCTCACACCTCACAGAAATTACATCAGTTTCCTTGATCTATACAACTTGGCTCAATCAGACAACTAGCACCACCAACAAAAGTTCACAACCATAACTAAACAAACAGGGACCAGACAAGGCTTTGCAAAACTTACTCTTTCTGCGAGACTTGATGCCAGTACACTTCATTAGCTTGATGTGCAGCTCGTTGACATTGTCCATGGGTCGTTGAGCTGCCTGTTCGTCCAGGGCCTGGAGAGCTTGCTGTGTAGCGTGCTGGTTGGTGGTGATGTAGCCAAGTGCCTTGGTCCTCTCCTGAAAGATTTGAGCAAGTGAGTTGGGATTAATGCTGCTTTGGACAGGTTTCCGGTTTATGTGAGAGGAATGCTCAAAATGATGCAGGTCGTAGATGGTAAACCCTTTGGTGAAAACCCTCAGGTATGTAGCTGACAAACTAAGAACAAAAATCAAGGTAAATCTGGGATTCAACCATAAGATCATAGGATTCTGGTACACCTAAGGGAAGCAACCCTGCAGAGCGAATTGTGGAGCCTTGGATCACAGGCAGCATTGCCAGCTCCGTCAGAAAGAGGAAATGTGGCAGGTTTCAATAACATCAATCATAATTCTTTCAATCACATTCTTTTAATTCTTTAGTAAATCCCAGGGCTCAACCATGAAATCCTTTGGAATTTTTGTCACTTAATAAAATCACACACACATTTACTTTCTAAGTGACATTACTGTACAAACATGCTGAGCATGGCATCAAGATGTGGTTGAGGACATACCTTGTAGAGCCGGAGGGCCTGGTCCATGGGAACTCTCAGTCTCACCCAGTAGTCCACAGTTCCGAACCCGACTCCATTGATACCTTCTCCAACACCTGGTGGAAAAGGGGACAACTTGCAGTCAGTGAGCAACAGTAGACAAGGTGAGGTGAAATGGGGTTTAACGTCGCGTCCAAGATTATTGCACTTATATGGCGACGTGCATGTACGTGTGTGTGTTTGTGTGGCTGCTTGTACTAGTCCGGAATGATGCCGATTTATAGTGCTAGCACACTGAGATACCATGCCGCAGTTTAACATGAATATCCCACTCAGACACAGTATACCGTATTTTCTTGAGTATAGTGCGCACTTTTTTCGAAAAAACACAGCTGTGTAGAAGGGGGTGCGCATTATACATGAATTATGAGTTTGGATGTTTTTTTCCCCCATGGAAAGACATTACCGTGAGCACGAAACACCGGAAATACCATGTCAACAAATCCATACTGAAGTACGCAAAATAATCATGTAATTACACTGTCTGGCTATAAAAAGTGTTCTTTGTATATCTGGACTTATGTTTGTAACTTATTTCATTAATTTTATTCAAAATTCCTTATAACATTGTTTTTATTAATTTCGTCGAAATCGTGTGTGAAGCGATCGGAAGATCGCACTACTCACCGTTATTAACAGCAACCACGGTCAGAATACCGCTATTGACGCCTTGAAACGAACTTTAGTTGACAGAGAATGGATACATATATCATAAATGACATACTTTGACTCGTTAAAAGTCATATTTGTTTTTGTTTGACGATTCTATGTCAACATGAAATTCTCGCGATCACGCGATCACGTGCGTGTGAGCCTTGACGGTGACTGGTCAGACTGGTTCCATGTAAAAAATAATACCCGGCAATAGCGATCAGCTGCTTCGCTTAGGGTTATTATTATTTTAAATATGTTTAGTAAAGGCTGCATATAATTAAGAAAATAATGGAATATATTATTCCTGATAAAAAAAATAGTTTCAGATACAATTGTTGCCAATCCTTGCATTAAAAATCCTATAAAGTTATATCATTGGGTGTGTCTTGACCGAATCACCGGTCGATTCCAAGAAAACGTGTGTACAGCTGATTGCTGTTTCCGGCTTAGTTTACGAGAAAATACACAAGGTAATCTTAATCCCTAGATATAAAACAATGCCTAGCAGAACAATAAATACTATTTAAACGGTAAATAAACATGTCTGGTGATTTTTTATCTCAAATTTCAAATTTGTACTGACGAAGTTTCTCAGCACCCGTTCGTTTGCCGGACTTCGCTGAAAGGGTACGGTGTAAATTTTTTCTGCACATAATATTCAAATTTCTTTTTTTCCAAAATATTGAACCCGCTAGAGGGGGGTGCGCATTATACATGGGTGCGCACTATACTCAAGAAAATACGGTACTGACTCTGAGCCAACTAGTCCTTGTTTTAGCCCCTTGATGCCGAGCGCCAGACAGGGTAACAACAAGTACCAACTTTTAACGTCTTTTGGTAGGACCTTCTGCTGTCCGGGCGGACGCTCTACCACTAGACCACGGAGGCGGTCAACAGTAAACAAGAGAGCGGCTGTTCGAGCCAAGAAGAGCTAGAAATCAGGTTGCTCATGAGAGCAGGTCACATGTCACATGACAGCATCTTTGAGATGACTGGTCCCAGGTATCCCTGGGTAAAAGTTTTGGCTTCAAATTAAGTTTCATTGTATGTTGCTGCAGTCCGGCTTAACTTGGCAGGAATTATCCAACAAAATACATAATGTAAACAATATCAATGGAGACAGAAAGAAGGGCATGTGAACATTATTTTTATGGAGCTTAATAAAAGCTGAGCTCCATAGCTAAGTCTGCTACAGACTTGATGATCACCAGACCATATAGCAGAAAGCAGCATGAGAGAAATAGGTTAAACTTAAAGGCCGTTTTGAACAGTATTTCTGTAATCATAATTATATCATGGCATGTCAGCTTGATGCAATCTTATTAAAATCAGACTAAAGGACTGAGGACGGGTCACGTGAGAATGACCTTTTGCGAAATTTGACCGACCACTGAAGCGACTAACAAAAAGTCGACACCAGCCCGTTAGAAAGCAGCTTTCTTGAGCTTTACGGCACTCGTCTCAACCTGACTACTTCCATTTCAGACTACACTTGTAAAATATGTGACACAGTTCTCGATTCAAATTTTGAAAACTGAACAATCGAACATTCCGGAATGTCTAACATATGGTTGCGATTGTATGGCAGTGCTTCCCACATAGTGTGCAACGCCTCCTCCATTCAAATGTGTATCCCTCAGAAGCGTGAGATAGACGATAGTTTTGACGGAATCAGTCGTACGGGCTGTAATTGTCGTTCGAAATACACCGTGTAAACGTTTTCGAGGTTGCATGATTAGAAAACACATTCTGACTGTCACTTTCATGATCTGGTAAGCGACGCATTGATTGGTCGGATGAAAGGTCGTTCTGACGTGACCCTAAATCGGATGTCCTCAGATCTTTGTTCTGCGATAGGGAGAACTAAGGTCTGATTTTAATGAGATTGAGCTTGATGTGGGAGGAAAGCTGAAAGTGATGCAGTCCTTAGACGTTTACCACTGGTTTACCAAGAGTACAGGAATGGTTCCTGAAAAACCTAGAAACAGAATCAGGCCCAATCTAGGATTAGAATCCATGATCACAAAATGTGCATATTCAATCCTCCCAATACATATCAGTAGGTTTCATGTGAACAAGTCTTACACTGGAACAACATTAAACACTGATGTAATCCATACAGTGACAAGTGATTGACTGTCATTCTTTTACCTGTCAATGTGGCTGTGCCATGTATCCGGCCATGAGGCTTGTCAAATATGTCCCTGAAGACAAGCTGACAGACTGCTAGTGTCTGGAAGTCCTGGCCGAAAGACTGGTGCAGCTCCAGAGTACAAGAGTCCTGCAATACAACACCATGCATGGTCACTTGAAGGCGCCAGAATAATACAATATCAACATCAGGGGTTTATCTTGGGTGGGGGGAGAGGAGGAGGGCCAGGGAGCGACAAAATGAACACAAATTTCGGGCTCTACTATAAGGGTAACGCTATTTTTCAGGGCATTATTATTTGCAGAAGCCCGAGGTCTTCCATTAAATGCCCGACGAAGGAGGGCAGTTGAAACGACTGAGGGCTTCTCCAAATGATAAAAGAGCGTTACCGTTATTATAGTTGGATGGAATTTGTTATCAAATAAAAAGAAACAACAATATCGGTTTTGAAACATTTACTGCAATCAACACGAATGTCACTGACCCACTATTACAAATATGGAAATGTCAAAGAACAAACCAGATGACGTCACTATTGAACGTGACGTCACCTTTTCCTATCCTATGACGTCGCCTAACAACGGGCATGATAATGGCCCGTCGTCAAGCAAAATGAGGGCATTATCAAGTTACAGTGGCCCACTCATTTCTGATAACATGCGGGTGGTTTAATGATAATTCTATCCAGTTTTATAGCTACAATAAGGTGATGAAGTTTGTTGCCGTTTTGTTCTGTTACTGGCCTTAGATTCCATTTTCTTGTACTTTTCACTGTGTTGAATTGTCTATAGTACAATATATCATGTGATTCTGAAACTCAGTTGATAATTTTATCACTTAGTTTCTATTTTGACTACAGAAACTTCCTATAGTAAGAGGAGTGTCTCAATTGGACATACAACACTATACCAGTCGCTCAACAAAATGTGCTTGCATTCATAGCAGACAGAGTAGGGCTAAATTATTATCTTCTCTTAATCATGTTAATTGGTGTCTATGATGAATTAGTCCTTGTGATTTGTTTTCGTTGATTGGCATACTATTCATATGAATTAAGGAGGAAGAAATCATATTTTCGGTGCAAATTCGTAAGCAACACAACAAAGTCAGCAACTATGCACAAGCAACCATCCACACTTTTTGGGCTCAGTAACAAGCGGCAAGAGAATATCCCCCTCAATGGTAGATACTTGTCATGAATAATTATATGAAACTTGTTGCCATGGAACCCAAACTATCAAAAGGCACCAGTTCACCACTAGACTAATCTATGTGCCAAGTTCGGTGATGTAATGTTTTACAGTTTTAAAGATCTGCTCTGGAATTCAGTACTAAAATAAACGTTTAAAAAATCTCACACTTTCAAAAGGCACCAGTTCACCACTAGATCTATCAAAGTACCAAGTTTGGTGTAGATTTCAAGATCTGCACCAGAAGAGACATCTAGCATGGACGGACAGTGTCCATTTTAAAACCCCCACAAAATACCCCTTTAGTCAGCTCATACAAGCACAGATTACTTTTCCCCGAATCTCCAAACGTACAGGATCATTTGCTGCCCTTGGGAAGAACTAGTAGTATCCTCGTCTACAGCAGAAAACCCTGAGATCCCCAGAGCCCTCTTAACATCTACCACAGTAACACTATGGCCAAATTAATGAGGCATGCCATGTCTAACGTGAAGCAGTGAAGACTTGCAGTAATAAGGTGCAGTTCAATTCATGTGATGGTTGTCTAAGTAGTACAGACTATTGATGGGTTGAAGTCAAGGGTACACAACTGCTGGCAAACAAGTATTACCTTTTGTAAATAATGTAAGAAGAAGTCATCCACTTTGACAACATACTGCGAGGTGAAGTTGTACTCAGATCTGTAACACAAAGTCATTGTTAGGTCATGAGTTATTCAGAAAACAACAATGAATCACCTGATAAAGGGTTCAGCTCACTGAACTTTTAGATCCATGTATCTAGGATACAGATCTAGAAATACTACTATTGTTTTCTCTGTACTTTGTTTTGGAAAAATGTCTGTGGCTTGTACTCATTAACCTTAAAGGGAATGAGGCTTGGGAAATTGATGCATGTTGTTCAAACACCTCTTTGTTTGCTTCTCTGTGTGTATGTATGGATATATGGCAGTGGCCTGTAAATATTATGGGACCACACAATACCGTGAATAATATTGTGAGCGATCCACGATCCACACTGTCGGAATACGATGACAGGCAAGTCATTAAATCCGTTAAATCTCCTCTTTCAACCAGCATATGTTGGGACCAATTCTAACCCAGAATCCCCACGGGGTCATTGTTTATCTGGTGACTATAATATTGTTATGTACCTTCAGTTTGAACAAGATACTGTTTTCAACACCTGGGTGCCGTTGTACAAAACAACCTTAGCACTATGACTGTCATAAGCCTATGTTAAAGTATGGGAGTTACAATCACCTTAGCACTAAGATCGCTTTGTTCAACAGCACCCTGGACCTGTTCTCGAAGTGGGCAACTGACCACGGAGAACAGTCCTCCTAGATCTCTTACCTTGGTCCCCTGTTGACTGGTGGCCACGGAGAACAGTCATCCTAGATCTCTTACCTTGGTCAGTGTTGACTGATGGCCACAGAGAACAGTCCTCCTAGATCTCTTACCTTGGTCCCCTGTTGACTGATGACCACGGAGAACAGTCTTCCTAGATCTCTTACCTTGATCCCCTGTTGACAGGTGACCACGGAAAACAGTCCTCCTAGATCTCTTACCTTGGTCAGTGTTGACTGGTGACCACGGAGAACAGTCCTCCTAGATCTCTTACCTGGGTCCCCTGTTGACTGATGACCACGGAGAACAGTCCTCCTAGATCTCTTACCTTGGTAAGTGTTGACTGGTGACCACGGAGAACAGTCCTCCTAGATCTCTTACCTTGGTCCCCTGTTGACTGATGACCACGGAGAACAGTCCTCCTAGATCTCTTACCTTGATCCCCTGTTGACTGATGACCACGGAGAACAGTCCCCCTAGATCTCCTACCTTGATCCCCTGTTGACTGGTGACCACGGAGAACAGTCCTCCTAGATCTCTTACCTTGGTCCCCTGTTGACTGGTGGCCACGGAGAACAGTCCTCCTGGATCTCTTACCTTGATCCCCTGTTGACTGGTGACCACGGAGAACAGTCCTCCTAGATCTCTTACCTTGGTAAGTGTTGACTGGTGACCACGGAGAACAGTCCTCCTAGATCTCTTACCTTGGTCCCCTGTTGACTGATGACCACGGAGAACAGTCCCCCTAGATGTCTTACCTTGGTCCCCTGTTGACTGGCGTGGACTGAATCTCAAATTCGAAGAACTCCCATGTGCAGAATATTGATGGCTCTTCATCCCCAAGGGCACGTAGTGCATCATTAGACAGGCTCACCTGGCATGGGGAAGTAGCAAAATCTTAAACTTGTCCCTTTGAAATAAACATTCCTATTTTGTCTTGTAGAAATATTATCATCCTGTCTGACTGGGAGTCAATGAGACAGAGGTTTCATTAAATACTTTCTAGAATTTCTTGTTTTTCTGCATTTGTTTTTAAATTCTGATACAAGACCATAGTGCTGATGGGGATTCTGCAAGACTATAAAGTAAGGCTGGATAAAAATGAGAATCGGAATTATCGTCGATGGGAAGAAATATTAACGTTTAACAATATGACAACTGTGTCATCGATAATATCCCACACAAACAATTGTGATGAAATTAAGTTTAAATTTACCAAAACAGACCTGTTATTGTCAATCACTTCAATTGCCAAAGAAGGAAAGCAACTGTTTTTGTTATAAATCTTATGTCCACAAAGTAATCCATGCATAAATGTGTCACCACTCACCAGCGGTATGAAGTGTGTTGATTTTCTTCGCACATTTTTGCATATTTGCTCAAAGTCACTTCTCTGATATTTATCAATAATTGATCGATATTTAGTTAATGATTATGATCTCTATGATCTATATCAATAGCCAGGCCTACTGTAAAGTTACATCATCTTAAATCGAAAATAAAGGAGAGTGAGCTCAAAAGGTTTCAAACATCTTTACTGGTAATATGACACAACAACACTGTATTACTGGTCCCATGACTTACATTGTCGGAACATGGGACTCACCTTGTTGATATGTATTTCAAAGAGATTCTGTCCTCTTTCCAGATGAATCGTCTCATCAAACTCTATAGTTGAATCCTCCTGAAAATAAATAAAAGCCATGAACTTAGGCTTAAAAAAAAGAAAAGAATTGGTTCTCAGGCAGTGGCTTTTGAAAATATAGTGCGGGTGTGCGGTGGTTTCTTTGCTTGTTCAAACTAGTATGTAACCAAATAAATAGTGTACGATCAACCCGGGAAAGAGCCTCCCTTCACAAACTCGTATTGGCCCCATTACCAAAACATGAGATGTGCAGTAAAGCAGTGCGAATGTAAAGGGGAATAATTTCGTGCTATATTGGATCACATTGTTTTCAAGTATGAGGACTTTTTTTTTAAAATGGAAATATAAAACGAAACATGCAGCAGACTGAATGATGATGCAGCGGTCCCTCAGAACCACAACTACTATTTTGTTTTAGCCTAATTCATCTACCGTATTTGACGTAATAAGCCCCCAGGGCGCTCTCAAAATTAAAAATAGGGGGTTCTTATTAGAATATAATTTTGGTGAGAAAAAAAAAAACAGAGTTGAAAGATTGTATATTTCGTGGTTTATGCTGACAGCCTGAAATGATACAAAAGAAAAGTCTGTGTGTATTATACACGACAGATATATTTTCAAGAATTTAATTGCCCATAATTTAGGGCGCATATCACACACGAGTGCATATTATACACAAATCAAGTCTTGTGTACATTGATCATTCGGAAGGGTGCTAATTGGGATTGTTCACTAGCCTTTCTATAACCAAATATCGCCGTGGGCGCTTATTAGAGCGGGGCGCTTATTACATCGAATCGGCCACAAAACACATTTGCCCAATGCAAAATTTTAACAGTCACTCTCCCCCCGTCCCCCTCGAAGTGTTTACTTCTTGATTTCATGGTGTCATGGGATGTGAGGCATACAATCACAAAAATAACCCGTCTTTTGTCTGTAACAGCTCTATCTCTGAGTTTGTACATAGGAGTAAATTAGCAAAGACTCACATCTTCAGTTGGTGGCATGATCTTGTACTGTCGGGTTCCATAAGCAACGTCACGCAGCTGAGCTTCAAGTTTCTGCAGGACATTCATAAATCATGAATATGTAACACACTTGAAAACATCACCATTGACAACAAAAACAAACAGCATCTAAACCATTTCATGTGACACATACAAGTTACATTCATTGAACAAAGCCTGAAATGTTCACCCTTTAGGATAATAATTTCTCGAAGCTTCTTCTGCTTTCACAGGTAGGCACCATTGGTCATAAAGACTCATATCCAACTAGTCCACAGCTAGTTTTGGACTAATGGTATCTGTAAAATAGGTTGGGAAGAAAACAACTAGTCCCTAAAGATTTTCATTAGTCGTGGACTAGCAGACCAGTGGCAGTGTCTATCCCTGCTCTTTGTGTCACAGCTCCCCAGGCCGATATCAACAGGCATCTGCAATAACCACCTCACATTCCTATGGTTGAAGAGAATGATGTTTAGCATCCTTGCTCAGTGATTGGTCATTTAACATGGCTACCTTAGGACCATGTATTACCTTTATTCTAGCCTGGCGTATATCGAGAAGTCGGGCAAACTCATCCAGTTTCATCTCGTACTCCTTCTTCACATCAGCCATCTTGCCGGCTGACATGTCCACCTGACAATGACAATATTCAAACAGATGTCTTAATGACACTTTGGAGCAGCCGGTATTTACTGAAATGGGAAATTCAAAATCATGCATATCCATCATCAGTTTGTTTTGTTTGTTTGTTGTTGTTTATCGCCACATTACAGCTATATGACAGCGGTCTGTAAATAATCGAGTCTGGACCAAACAATCCAGTGATTGATCCAGAGCATTGATCCACACAATTAGTATATGATGACATGCATCAACCAAGTCGAGTCTGACCACCCGATCCCGTTAGTCGCCTCTTACGACAAGCATAGTCGCCTTTTGTGGCAAGCATGGGTTGCTGAAGACCTATTCCACCCCGGATCTTCACGGGTGCTATCATCTGTACATCATGGGTTAGTGCACAGTTTGTCACTGTGAAAACATACATCAACTATGTGTTACAATTGCGACATGTGCCTAGTTATAGTAGGCTGATCATAGCTCAAAGAAGTCAAACGAGCCCTGCTCTGTGCATGAACTCTGTGTGAACCTGTCATTGCCTGACACTGAAGCAATGTGTAGAGCAGACGGCCACATGACCTTGGTACATGTTGTCCAGGAAGAAACCAGTGATGTAAGCTGAACTGAATTGGTCTGAGCACTCACTGGCTTCCTTTTATTCACAATCCACATTTCACGTCCAATCAGTGAATGAGTTGGGTTAAATGCTGCTTTTAACAGTATTCCAGTTATATCACGGCGTGTCAGCTTGATGTTGGAGGAAAGCCCGAAGTGATGCAGGTCTCAGACGTTTACCACTTCGGTGAAACCCACGAGCATGGGTATGGTGCTGACAAACCTAGAAACATAATCGGGGCGAACCGGGATTCGAACCCACAATCAAAGGTTTCTGGCGTGCCCAAGGGACGCAACTCTGCACAGCGAATCGGGGCGCCTGACACGACTGGGCCACCCAATCATGTCCAAACAAGACATGACAGGAAACTTCAACCCTGAACACAGTGTGGTAGCCTGTTGTCGTCCATTACCTCTGTCTGGTAGTCTTTGTTGATCTTGTGTTGGACCATCAGCATGTTGCGGGTCTTCTCCAGTTCGTGGACTGTCTCGGCGTACTCCGCCTGGAGTTCCAGCAGCTGTCTGTGGTAGTCTGGACAATACAAAATCACCTTAGAGTGAGTGAGTGAGTGAGTGAGTGAGTATGGTTTTACGCCGTTTTTAGCAATATTCCAGCAATATCATGGCGGGGGACACCAGAAATGGGCTTCACACATTGTACCCATGTTGGGAATCGAACCCGGAACTTCGGCGTGACGAGCGAAAGGCTTTTACCACTAGGCTACCCGACCGCCCCTCACATCACCTTTGACAAGTCCACTCTTCACTCACAAACATATCCCCCCCCCCCCCCAAAAAAAGATTATAACAGTTAGTAATTTAAAATGTTTTCTTTCTTTTTATTTAACTTTCTATTAATATCACTGTTAATCCAGGTCCATCACAAGGAAAGAATTTAAGAAGCTTCATGGAGTGAGTCTCCCCTGAGAAGAATTATATAAAAACTATGAACAAAGATGGGCATCTATTAAAACCATACACAAGTTAAATTTGTTGTCAGAGATCGAGTGGTTGATAGTTATTTCAAACATTCATGAAACTAGTCTTTCTTATATAAGTTTGTGTAAAACAATAATTTTTCACACCATCAAAGCACCTCATTATGTATTATTTTTAAGTTCCTGACCTTTGGTCATCTCATTGTCAACCTGCTGTAGGAAGTCCGGCTGTGGCATGGCCTTCTGTTTCTTCTGCTTGACCAACACTAATGCCTCCTCCATCTCTGTGAAGTCTACAGCACTTTCCTGCACAGGACATAGAGGACTCACTTAGTTGGCACTGTGTACAACATTTGTTCTGCATTCTCATTAGAAAGTGATCATGGTAATATACATTTTCAACCTAGTAGTAAGCTGGTCCATATCACTGTACTGCTTAATATGGGCGGTAAGACCACACAGACATAGGAGACAGATGTAATAAATGTTAAGCATTTTGGTGATCCTGGGATTGACAAGGGAAGCAACTCTGCACATCAAATTGCTGCACATTGAGTCAGTAGGGTTTTAATCTTCTTTCAGCATTAATTTAGCCATATCAAGGCAGGGTGACACCAGGAATAGTCTTCACACATTGTACCCAGATGCAGAATATAACCCTGGTCTTCAGCATGACAAGCTAATGCTTTAACCACGAAACTATCCACGTCTTCCCGAGGCAAGGGTGTTAACTGACTAAATAACTCCAGTTTCCACCCTTGCCGAACTAGGCAGGAATTCCGGAGTTACATTTGGGCTGGACTATGCATAGTCCAATCAAAATCGGGTAACGAACTAGACATCCAGTTCGTAAACAAAATGGATTTCAATGAGTAGATTTCATTCGACTGAATGATTTGCAAAGCATGTGTACTGCCAACTGGGCATAGACAGATATTTTGCAAATCTTTTCATGTTTTTAATCAAGGTGCTCAGATCGTCTTGACTGGGCACCGCCATTTTCTTTGAAACATTTGCAAGTGACATGAGAGGTGAAATCTGATTGGTCAGTTGGAGGGACATAGAAGGGACATAACTCATTATAGCCACTGGTGGCGCTGCAATAGTGCCTGGAAATTCCAGCCTAGTTCGGCAAGGGTGGAAACTTGACTTTTATAGACAGTTAACACCCTTGCCTCAGGGAGTATAGCTATCCACTGCCCTTAAACTGCTGAAGAAGCTGCATACCTTGGTGAAGAACTTCATCTTCTCCTCCAGGTCGTCATACTGCTCCTTGGTCTGGAAGTACTTGAGCTGCAGCTCCTGGAAGTCACGGGCTAGCTTCTCATTCTCATCTGGAACACAAGGACTGAGTATAGCCGTAAGGAATAAACTTAGTAAAATCTAAATATGTTTTATATTTGTATACTTATCCTGCATTACTTCTTAATGCATTTACTGCTGTTTTCTGACAGAGAGACAAACTGTGTGAGATCCACCTGCCGAGGAAAAGATGTTCCAACCAGTAGAGGCAGCACCCTCCCACAGTCCCCACGTGACCCGGAAGTCATGACGTCACATAACTGCTTTAAACATAACATCTGAAACTTCGTGGGGAGGCAGTGTAATGAAGGGAGGGCACTTATACGTCATAATGCAGGATAAGTATACAAATGTAAAAAATATTTAGATTTTACTAAATTTTTTAACTTATCCTGTATTGCTTCTTAATGCATCTCTATCAGACGGCACGACCGGTGGGCATACCTTCAGATGTGATCCATAATAAACCCTTGTCAAGGTCCGATGAAACCGCACCAGATACAAGTGGTGAGCGGAACATCTACGACCATTCCTGTCTTCAGGAAACAAGAGTCGATGCAAAAAGGAAAAACCCGAATAGGTGACAGAAATAGAATGAGGCGGGTAGCCAAAAACTAGAACTTACCTAAGAGCGAATGTGGAACGCAGTAGAGTCCTCTAATCTGAGGTGATAAACAACAAAGAGGTCGACGGGCCCCGCTCGGGGTATCGAAGAATCAGCAACGTCAGCATCAACATGTACGACCATTCCAGTGAGTGAATGTGGAATGCAGGAGAGCCCTCTAGTCTGGGGTGATAAACACCAGAGAGGTTGACGGGCCCCACTAGGGGCACGGGGAATCAGCGGCATTGACGTCAGCGTTGGTGTCGGTGTCAACATCTACGACTATTCCTGTCATCAGGAAACAAGAGTCGACGCAAAAAGGAAAACCTGAATAGGTGATAGAACTAGATTGAGGCGGGTAGCCAAAAACTAGAACTGAACTAAGAGCGAATGCAGAACGCAGTAGAGCCCTCTAGTATGTGGTGATAGACACCAGAGAGGTCGACGGGCCCTGCTCAGGGTATCGGAGAATCAGTGGCATCGGGGATTGGTGACCTGTTGGCCTACAAACAGGGGACCAAAACTGTGAACACGGGCGACATCTTACAAAGCTACATCACGGAGATAGTGGCTGGCGAAGATGGTGTCAGTTTGCCAATAACAGCCTTCCATGATCGACTGGATGGAGCAGTTACTGTGAAGAGCCATGGTAGATGATCTCATGTTGTTGGCCTTGGGGGGGTCTAATCCAGCGACTATATAAGCTTGGAGGATGACCGCACGGAGTCACAAGGAAATAGTATTCCGGCTGACCTCTGACTGCGACAAGGGGGAGACATTTCCTCGCAGCAGACTTTAGACCATCGTAGAAGGACCTTCAATGCCCTAACAGGGCATAATAAAAGCTCCGCCTCAGAGAATGGTGAATGGTGAATAATCTATCAGGGAGTCCTGGGAGTTGATTCTTGGCAATGAAGTCCCAGCACAGCCCCAGACACACAATGCCATGAGAACTGCGTTCGAATCAGACACCTCGAGGGGGTGAAGCTCACTGACCCATGCAGCGGTAGTCAGAGCCAGTGGAAACACTGTCATCCTTGTAAGGTCATAGAAGGAAGACGAGTGGTTTGAAGGCAGCCGTCTGAACAGCCAGTTAAACCACCCCCAGGCAGTCTGAACTTTGCTTGCTTCAAAACTAGTTCGGCGATTTTTGTCATTCTCCGATCGACCGACACGGCAAGCGACCATGTACGTAGAGATGGTAGAGCCCTTCAAATGACTCAAATAAAGGAGAAACTACAGAAACTGTGGTGACGCTGTCAATGGATCCTGGTGTTTGTCTGAGTAGAGGGCCTGGAAGGAGCACCCTTTGTTGACATACAGTCCCCGTGTAGATTGACGATAGGCTAAAGCAATAACAGGTAACAATATAGCAGCATACTTAATAAAGGAGAAACTCCAGAAACTGCAGTGACGCTGTCAATGGATCCTGGTGTTTGTCTGAGCAGAGGGCCTGGAAGGAGCACCCTTTGTTGACATACAGTCCCCGTGTAGACGGACGATAGGCTAAAGCAATAGCCTTGGCCCAAAGGTAACAGACCATAAACAGATAACAATATAGCAGCATACAATGAATACAGAATTTTTTTTTATAGAAACAATAAGCTTTAATTTACACAAGGGATACAAAGTACGTCCGTCCGTGGAGGTGACAAAGCAGTTATGTGTTTTGATGTGACGTCATGACTTCCGGGTCACGTGCCCACTGTGCGAGGATGCTGCCTCTACTGTTTGGAATAACTTTTCTTCAGCAGCTGGATCTCCACAGTTCGTCTCTGTCAGAAAACCGCAGTAAATGCATTAAGAAGTAATGCAGGATAAGTTAAAAAATTTAATAGATACCAGGGTTGGAATTTGCTTGTATCACAGAGCAAATGGTATGGTTAAAAGAACTTCCTGGTGACTGAACATGCTAAAGGGAACGCTTAGAAATCATTTTTTGCATTAAATGAAGCTAGCGATGTATGTACTTTTGCAGATGTAAACAATATAGACAACAATCTCATACAAGTTATTAAGGCGAAACTTGTTGTGTCAAACTTGGATGTGACGAATACCCAGTGGTCTTGAACTCAATTGCGTCCCAAGTATCCAAATTAGGCATAAAAGTCCCCTCATGTCTCAAATCCCTGATAACTCAAACCTTTTTCCAGGTCCTCAAGAGTTCGACACAACGATGTTCGATGGCATATACACATGAAAATAAGTTAAGCACCACTCCCTCACATTTCAATATCCTGAATTTTTATGTGACTTTGAAAACATTTACATAGGACATTGATCTAATTCTAATAAATGTTTAAATACAACAAAACACCTGGTGAAAATTGGAGGTGAGGTGAGGTGAAATTGGGTTTAACGTCGCGTCCAAGATTATTGCACTTATATAGTGTGCGTGTGTTTGTGTGTTGCTGCTTGTACTAGTCCAGACTGATGCCGATTTACAGTCAAGTCTCGTTAATCCGACATCGTTAGTTGCACATGATTGTGTCGGATTAACGAGTATGTCAGATTAACGAAATTAAGTGATTTGTGATCGAAAATCGGACATCTTCACGATAGATAATAACCGTGTGTTTCCTCGTGTAAATGCAAGTGCTACTGTCTTAACAACTTGCTTCATCTACTTAAAATAGTCTGTCAGTGTTTTCTGTTTCTCACATTTTGAAGGCACATTTCTCAAAGTCCCCTGTTCGCTTGACGTCTAGGGCTGGTGGTTCTTCAGCATCAACACTGTCGAGGTGTAATTTCATTTGTTTCTTATAATAAAGCTTGAAATTCTTTATGATCCCGGCATCTAGTGTTAATTGTTAAAGTTAATCTCTGCAGCCAGTGCGTGTCAAAACACGGGGTTGTGTACTCGCGGGCAGATGATTACGGAGTACGCTGACCACTGTGTCGGATTAACGAGACTGATTAATGAGTGATTTCGGTAATTCGTTGCAAATTAGGTGTGTCGGAGTCGGAGTGCGAGAATGTCGGATTAACGGGACTAAATAGCGCTGAATCAATCGGTTCCCATCATTTGTGTCGGATAAAGCCGAGTGTCGGATTAACGAGTGTCGGATTAACAAGACTTGACTGTATAGTGCTAGCTCACTGAGATACCATGCCGCAGCTTAACATGAATACCTCACTCAGACACAGTATACTCCGAGCCGACAAGTCCTTGTTTTAGCCCCTTAATGCCGAGCACCAGACAGGGTAACAACAAGTACCATGGTTTAACGTCTTTTGGTATGACGCGGCCAGGAATCAAACCCTGGACCTTCCGCTCTCCGGGCGGATGCTCTACCACACGGAGGCGGTAGGTGAAAATTGGAAAAAGAACGCTATGAATATTCTGGAAGTACTTCACATGATTTGATATAAATATGCAGAAGGAACAACGAACCCCTCTCCATTGCGTATTTATCAATGATGCCTCCCTTCTCTCCCAGGTCGGCCTTGAGAGTGGCCTCCAGCTGAGCTATCTGCACCTTGAGGGCGTTCTCCCGCTGCCTCCACTCACGCTCTCTCTCGAGATCAAACGCACTGTAATAATGTACAAACCATGCTTGCTTAACATAATCTTAATGTACACAAACATGTATTCTTTTAAGGCAGAAGATCGGTTTTAGATATGTCATTACAAAACCTCCAATGAGCCTCAAATTTCATCTACCAGGCAATCAAGGCCAATTATTCACTCAACAGAATTTATTTCACCACAATGCGTTTCTTTAAGGTACCAAGAACAACATACTAAAACTCCCAAGCAATCCAAGTTTGGGAAATATGTGTAAATTGCATAATCCATTATGGCCGCTAATTATTAATAAATCTTCCATTTTTCAGATGAGGTTCAATCTACTGATGAAAAAAGCTTGTGTTTTATTGCAAAATAGCCATACTATGTTTCTAAAAAGATATTCAGCTATTCAGACACCTACTGAACGTTTTCGACAATTGACAAATCTTTACAAATTCAAGATGGCCACCAATTTCAAGATGGCCACCAAGTCTTCTATAAATGAGTCCAGACTGTGGAATCCTTTAACTCCAAAACAGAGTGCTAGGACTTATATGTTTATGCAAGTGTTGAGAGAAGTGTTAAGACAAGTGGTGGCCTTACAAGAGGAAAGGGAATGATGGAAACTCAACGCCAAGTGTGCAACATTAGAAATTGGCTCTAGTCCTGTAGTCCTTGCCAAACTGCCCAATAGTTAAGGTATCATAAGGACTAGTAGAAATTTGCCATATTTAAGGGTTTTGCTATGTATTATCATTATAAGGACTAGTGGACTAAAAATGTTAGTTTCTAACGCTGGTGTGGGTCCTGTCTTTGCCAAGTTTCCAAATAAATATTCAGCAACGCATGCAAATTAGACCTATTACCCAAACTGGGATTGCTTGGGACTTTTAGTATGTTGTTCTTGGGACCTTATAGAAATGCATTGGGATGAAATATTCTGTTGCAATTTGTTCCAAGTGAAACCCTTATTTTGCCTGGGCTAATTCAAATTGATGTAATGATTGAGTTTCATGTTCATTTATCACCCAGAGCCCCATTTTACAAAGCTATCTTAGCCCTAAGACCATCATAAGCCTATGTTAAAGTATGGGAGTTCTGATCACTTTGAGATCACTTTGAGTAACAGGGCCCAGAACTAATTGTAGACATCTATTCTTACAAGTGTACTAGAATAGCTTCTGTATAAATATTTATTATTAAACATGTCTTTGAAAGAAAAAGGTCATAAAGATTGATTGTACATAATTGACTGTACCTGCTAACAAGCTTTTCATTTGCCTCTTTCAAGATGTTGCTTTCCTTCTGCAGGTCAGACACCTGTTCTTGGAGCTGTTCAATGAAAATACAAGGAAAGAATTGGGTAATATTTCACAAATGCTCCTCATCGGTCAATGGCATTACAGGTTAATAAGACAATACAAGATACTCAAGAATAATGTCAAATGGAGCGAATAATTGAGTAAAATGAACACATTTCCAAACGGTGCAGTGAGAAACAAACTTAAGCATTTGTTGTCCTTTGGACATAATGTCCAGTGTTTCCTCTATACCTATTTGCAATATTCTAAATAAGTGAGTGAGTGAGTATGGTTTTACCCTGCAATATTCCAGCAATATCATGGCAGGGGGACACCAGAAATGGGGTTCACCCATTGTACCCATGTGAGGAATCGAACCTGGGTATTCAGCATGACAAGCAAACGCTTTCAGCACTAGGCTACCTCACCAGTCCTATTCTTAATGCATCAACAAAACGATACAAAAATGACTAAACTTTTGCATGCATAATACATCGATAAACTTATTAGTGAATGAGTGGATATTGTTCAAGGCCTGTCAGCAAGATTCAAGTTATATCAATATGGCTTGTAAATAATCATGTCAGGACCAGGCAAACCAGAGACAAATTGTATGAGCAATGATTTATGCCATTCGGGCACCATGACAGACCATCAGCTAAGTCTGAGACAGACCATCTCATTTAGTCAACTCGTAAAATCATGAGTCACTGAGGATCAATTCTACACACTGGGAGTTGGTGTTTTTAAGTATGTGAGTGAGTTGGATCTTACACCGCTTTTAACAGTATTCAAGTCATATCATGGTGTGTCAGCTTAATGAGTGTGAGAGTGAGTGAGTGAGTGAGGCATGAGTCACTGAGGATCAATTCTACACACTGGGAGTTGGTGTTTTTAAGTATGTGAGTGAGTTGGATCTTACACCGCTTTTAACAGTATTCAAGTTATATCATGGTGTGTCAGCTTAATGAGTGTGAGAGTGAGTGAATGAGTGAGTGAGTGAGGCATGAGTCACTGGGGATCAATTCTACACACTGGGAGTTGGTGTTTTTAAGTATGTGAGTGAGTTGGATCTTACACCGCTTTTAACAGTATTCAAGTTATATCATGGTGTGTCAGCTTAATGAGTGTGAGAGTGAGTGAGTGATTGAGTGAGGCATGAGTCACTGGGGATCAATTCTACACACTGGGAGTTGGTGTTTTTAAGTATGTGAGTGAGTTGGATCTTACACCGCTTTTAACAGTATTCAAGTTATATCATGGTGTGTCAGCTTAATGAGTGTGAGAGTGAGTGAGTGAGTGAGTGAGGCATGAGTCACTGGGGATCAATTCTACACACTGGGAGTTGGTGTTTTTAAGTATGTGAGTGAGTTGGATCTTACACCGCTTTTAACAATATTCAAGTTACCGGTATATCCCAGTGTGTCAGCTTAATGAGTGTGACAGTGAGTGAGTGAGTATGGTTTAACGCCACTTTTAGCAATATTCCAGCAATATCACTGCGGGGGACACCAGAAATGGGCGTCACACATTGTACCCATGTCGGGAATCGAACCCGGGTCTTCGGCCTGACGAGTGAACGCTTTAACCACTAGGCTTTAATGTGGGAGGAAAGGTGTAAGTGATGCAGGTCTCAGCTTGTTTACCTCTTCGGTGAAACCCACGAGCACGGGTATGGTGCTGACAAACCTAGAAACTTAATCAGTGTGAACCAGGATTCGAATCCACAATCATAGGTTTCTGGCAAGCCAAGGGGAAGCAACCTTAAACAGCGAATTGTGGTGCCTTGGTGACAAGGCCACAGTAAGAGACATGCTGCATGTGGCATTATCATGTATGCTGACCAAACTTTGAATCAACTGACACTGAGAGTCATCCTACCTCCACCACCTTCCTCTGATTGGCCGAGTTGTACTTGAGTTCGTTCTGTAGAGTGAGGCTCTTGTTTTCTTCATCCTTCAGCTTCATGTTCAGCTCCTCCATCTTCATCAGCACCTGGTCATGGTTCATCTTTATCACACGAGTGTTCTGTGGGAAAAGAGGCACACAGCAGCTGGTATTAACATTTCTGAACAAAACAGTCAGGCAATCACAGATAACGGGTCCTCCACTCCAGTAAAATGAAGCCCTGGTCGCATGATTAGTCAAGAAACCCTGCCTTTAGTATGATTACTGTTGAGAATGTCAATGTATTTATAGGGGCATTTGTATATGCTCATGATACAAAACATCAGCTGGCTAAACCGTCTTCCCGAGGCAAGGGCGTTAACTGACCATAAAGTCCAGTTTCCACCTCTGACTATGATTGAATTCCAGAGTTAAATTTTGGCTGGACTAACGAGACTAACGAGACATCCTGGAGGAAAAAAAATGCCGTTTTGCAGGATCTGCAAAGCACATGTACCGTCAACTCGGCTGTGACAGATATTTTCCAAATCTTTTCATGCCTTTAATCAAGGTCATCAAGTACTTTGATGCACTTCGCGAGGTAAAATCCATTTGATTACAATAAAGATCTTGATTATTGAAAAGATTGATTTGACTGGGTGCCACCATTTTGTTTGAAGCCAAGGCAAGTAATATGAGAGGTGGTATCAGATTGGTCAAGAGGCAGGACATAGAAGGGACATTATCCTTTCTGAATAACCTATTTTTCTGAATCAGTCTGTGCATTAGGCATGTTCACATTTTCATCACTTTCCATGTGTTGGTCACGATTATTTGTGTTCTCGTAATAGGCATTGCCCAGCGTGACTTTCAGGCACCAGAAACATTTTTAACTGTGACATCAGCACGAAAATACAAGGAATTTTGAACCCTGCAATATCTGATTCAGATCATCTTCCTGAGGCAAATTTCGTGGCTCGATCAAAGCCGTGGGGGTTACGAGTTATGTCCCTTCTATGTCCCTCCTATCAGATTCCACCTCTCATATCACTTGCACTTTCTTCAAACAAAATAGCGGCGCCCAGTCCAGATGATCTGATCGATAATCAAGATCTATATTGTAATAAAATAGGCCCTACCTCTTTAAGTACATCAAATCACTTGACCACTTTGATTAAAAACATGAAAACATTCTGTCAACGTCCAGTTGACAGTACACATGCTCTGCAAATCCTGCAATCGACCAAAAATCTGCAAGGCAGTCGCCATGTTGTTTATGAACCCAATGTTGATTATGTCCCGTGATTTTGATTGGACTATGCGCGTGGACTTCTCCTTCACTTCGCGTTGGAGTCGGATCATATCAATGTTCTCTTGTAGCCAAACTATAACTCCATAATTCCTGCCTAGTTCGGCAAGGGTGGAAACGGGACTTTTAAAGTCAGTTAACTCCCTTGCCTCGGGAAGGACAAATTAAAACATGATCAAACCTGAAATAGATATTTAATACAAATGTCATTGTCTTCATTGATCTATTGAGACTGAAATAATATAGGTGAATTAAATTTTCTGTGTGTATATTGGTTGGTTGGTTTGTTGTTTAACGCTGCACTCAGCAATATTCCAGCTATATGACGGCAGTCTGTAAATAATCGAGTCTGGACCAGACAATCCAGTGATTAATATCATGAGCATCGATCCATGCAATTGGGGTCAATAACATGCATCAACCAAGTCAGCGAGCCTGACCACCCAATCCCATTAGTCGCCTCTTACGACAAGCATAGTCGACTTTTACGGCAAGCATGGGTTGCTGAAGGCCTATTCTACCCTGGTATAATTGGCACAAACCTCCTCCAGTGATGAGTATTTATCTTGGAGAGCCGTCAATCGTGTTGACTTCTCCTTCACTTCGCGTTGGAGTCGGATCATATCAATGTTCTCTTGTAGGTTAACTCTGAAAACAGTTCATGGCATAGGTTTTATGGAACTAACTGAAATATAGATAACATTGTAAGCTGTGGATGTTCCATACCAAATTTAACAAAGATGTGAAAACATATCTTACTTTTGTTCAGCAGTAATTTGCTGCTTGATTTTCAGAATATCTTCTTCGAATTCTGATTCCCTCATACGGTTCTGAAGAAAACAAACAATACTAGATGAAAAATAACCAACAAATATATAAATATAAGAATTAATTTATATACCGTAAAACTTATTTCTACATATTGTAAAAGGCATTGTCAAACACATGACTTGTCCAGTTATCTGCTACATTCAAATACTTGTTAAACACAACTCACCTGTTCTTTCAGGCTTTCTATTTCAAGTTCATAGACATTGAGTCGTTCTTGTAGCTCATTCACATAGAGTTGTCTGAAATAAAATAAAGAGGCAAAGTTGGTGACTTGAGTCATGGTCACTGTAAGGGATATTATAAGTATATCGATATGAGTGACAGTTTGAAGTTGAAGTCCTATCCAACCCACCCAACCCGAGTACCCGAATTACCCGTCCCAGCCCAAATTGAAAGCTATTCAGGCCACAAGCAGATCAGTGGTCAATACAGCTAGAGCAGATCCACATTAATTGCCATGATATCCATATTGCAAGTACTATTTTTATTGTATCTATAAAGTTTAAGTATCAGTTTAAAGATTAGTGTGAGTGAGTTGGGTTTACTGCCGCTTTTAATATTATTCCAGTTATATTGCGGCATGTCAGCTTAATGTTGGAGGAAAGCCCGAAGTGATGCAGGTCTCAGACGTTTACCACTTCAGTGAAACCCACGAGCACGGGTATGGTGCTGACAAACCTAGAAACATAATCGGGGCGAACCGGGATTCGAACGCACAATCATAGGTTTCTGATTTGCCCATGGGACGCAACTCTGCACAGCGAATCGCAGCGCCTTAGACAACTGGGCCACCCATGCCCCCAGTTTAAAGATTAACAAATGAAGGGTAAATTATGCAACTTTCAGCAAGATACAGAAATATGAAGAACTTACAGATTCCTCTTCTCATGTCTCGTTTCTTCCAACACACTGTGGCCATACCTGGGGCCGGTGGGGCTGTGTGGACCTCTACAGAACAAATGAATGAAACACATGAGATGAGACAATGTACTATATCAATTACATCAGGTCTGACTACCTAATTTTTTCATAAACTATTTTCTGTCTCATTAAACAAGCAAATGGTTTATAAATGTGTCTCAGGTATTTGTCAATCTCGTTCAAATCAGATCTAAGTTCTCGCTCCGTTCAAATGTTTATCCCTCGGAAGCGAAGGTTGCATGATTAGAAACACATTCCAACTGACACTTTCACGATTTGGTAAGTGACGCTGTGATTGGTTGGATGAAAGGTTGTTCTGCATGACCTGTAATGGGATGTCCTCAGATCTTTGTTTAGCGATAGCGAGAACTTAGATCTGATTGTAATGTGATTAGGTATTTGTTATCTGGATTTTATATACCACTGAAAGTTTTCTAAGGATGATGTTTTGATGTTATCAAAAAGTCATCCAACAAATAAATATTGAAACATCCCGGTACACAATGATCGGGTAACCCCTACAAGACCTCAATATCATAATGAACAGACAGAAGCATGCAGTCATGGGCAGGATGTGCACAAGGGACTTGTAAACTTGTGTTTGGATGTATCGTGACAGAATCATTGCACATCATTATCAGAGAGCACAATAACATTTGCAACTGAGGATTGCAACAACCAATTCCACTTATGCCGCCTTAGTGTCAAAGACATCATTTGATGACAGAAGAATTAGGCAGATGCAAAGGCATGCTGGAAATTGGGGCAACATAATGTCATGTTGCAAACGTCTTTGGTGTCAGTCAAAGTGTGATCAGCAAGACATGGAATCAATATCAGAACTGATCAGCTACCCCGAGATATGCTGGTGGTCGACAGCGTTTCATCAACAGCGGGTAGACATGTTTCTCCTGATTGCAGCAAGACGTCAATACTTCGTGTCTGCCATCACACCCAGAAATGACCTGCGGAACGCCAGTGACATTAACGTTTCAACTCATACAGTGGGCAATCGTCTCCGTGAGGTGGTGATCCTTAGCAAATTTTGAGTAGTATACAGAACCATTCCAGGAATCAGGAATAAAATGATAATAAGCAAATGAAAGTCAACTGGAGTCCAAATGCTTACCTTCTGCCAGTCTCCATAGGAGGTCCCATCACTCGGATATTCTTTGTAATTCGTGGGTCGATCTGGACGGTCTGTTTCGCAATACCCTAAACAGATCAGGTGAATATTTAGCATGACTCATTAACAATCTGCCATCCACTTAGCTAGCCTGTATGGATGACATGACATCATAATATTTGTTGTGATGTCACTTGCTTGTCACATCATAATTTATTCTGTTCATGCTTTGTATTACCATACTGAAGTTATTCCTGGAGGTCTTTGTATTAGTTTGTTTGTTTGTTGTTTAATCCTGCACTCAGCAATATTTCAGCAATATTAAGGTGTTTTGTAGATAATCGAGTCTGGACCCGACAATCCAGTGATTCACATCATGAGCATGCATCCACACAACTGGGATATCATGACATATATTAACCAAGTCAGCGAGCCTGACCACCTGATCTCGCTAGTCGCCTCCTACGACAAGCAAATGCCTTTCACAGCAAGCATCGATTGCTGAAGGCCTATTCTACCCATGATCTTCACGGGTCCCTTGATCAAAAGATTCATCATCATCTTGTTATCTTTGTTTTGAGAGTAACTGCATCAGGGTAACTGTAACCATGACAACAAGACAGTACTGTCCTCAGTGAACCAATTGAGAGTACCAACTAATATATTTCCTGATCACTAAATCCTGGGATGTTGTTATTTCAATTTATTTCACAGAAGTTTTAATCACATTAATCTTCCAGAAAAATGGACAAATAGGGTCGTGACAGGTTGGTTCTCTGTGTAATCAGTCAACTATTGTGGACAGAGACCGTTTGAATATTCCTGGCATTACATCATGACAGACTCTCACCGTAAGTGATGCGAAACAAATTCCATGGTTTCTTACATGGATTATATGGAAAAAAACATATCTGACAAAGATAAACCATTATGACATTATAAATGGGTTTGTTCAGATTTTAATGTCAATATTAGGTATTTCTTTAATGAGCAAAACTCACTTCAACCCATGTTATTAACTGAACTAAAATGTTCTCAATAATCATGGTAATGCTTCTCTATGTTAATACAAAATCAGATGAACTATGGAGCCCTCTAGATTTGAAAATAAACATTGTCAAATTTTGGTATTTGTAATACAAAAACTATCTTCTGTCCATACCGTATTGATTCTTGACTGAACATGTTCATAGGCTGTTGGCCTTTTACTAGCTGCATTTGCTTGTTGTTTGGCTAACATCAACTGAAATACAAAACAGAATCAGGTAAACATGAAATAATGGCGACTCGTCACTAAATGCCAATACATTGCTCATATTGATATTTGTTTATCCCTACCAATTTGTATGTACATGATATAAGAGAATGAGCCAATGCAACTCTCAAACTCTAATCAATTAAGACGGGTTCCCGGGGTATTTGAGGTGGTTGCTGCAATAGTATTTGAATCTCAGCACCACCTTAATCTTTAATGTTTAACATTGGGTCAGGCAAAAAAATCTGAATTTCATGCTTAATTTCAATCACTGACTTAATTATATCATGTATATTTAACTGCTTATTTTGAAACTGATGAACAGAAATAAGGCTGTACATGGTGTAAGAGCATTACCCTTTCTTTAAGCTGAGCATTTTGCTTCTCATATTCTCTCATCCTCTCATTCATTTCTTCCATCCTATCTTCAGCTTCGATGTCCCGGACTTTCTTTCCACCTTTAAATACAAAACTAGTTATAAACTCAGAGAAGCCTGTTTTATGATACTATTGACATTAACAAACAGATGAGATTGCATGTGAGGTGAGGTGAGGTGAAATGGAGTTTTGTAGAATTTTCCTATTCGGAATATTCTATAAGTAATACGTTACCACTGTTATACCGAGGCTGTTGTCCCCCACAAATGCTCTTATAGCAAAATCTTCCACAGAGATCTCAATTACCTCATGCAGCACGTGCGTAGCCACCTAGCTGCCATGTGACACCCTTCACTCTTGTCTCTTGCGAGAGCAAGTGCTCGGGGGACGGACGGGCGGGCATCAGCCCAGTGGTAACGTATTACTTATAGAATATTCCGAATAGGAAAATTCTACAAATTACATTAAGTAATACGTTACCACTGTTATACCGAGGCTGACTACCACAGTAGGCGGTGGGGAGCACCTACAACCCGAAACCTGACTGCTCGTGTTCCCTCCGACCAGCGGAAGTAAACAACAAGGCAGAAGCACTCGATGCGCATGCTCCCAGCATGCCGTTACCATATAGGGATACCAAAGCACTGTCAAGCGCATACCGTAAGGCTCAATCGTCATTGCCAAAATGATTGGTGACTCCAAAAATGATTGGTGACTCCAAACGGCTCCACTGGATAGGTATTTCATCGCCGCAGCGAAGGAGAACACAGTATCCGTGTGAGCTAAATCTTAGATCAGGTTAAACAGTCGAAAAGAGGGAAATTAATTTCATTCGGACCGTATATCCTGAGAACAAGCCTACTTAAGCGTGTGTAATAGGCGCGTGACCTAAATTCAATATTGGAAAGCATGCATTACAAGGTTGCAATACACAACAGACAATTAGGTTAATAATTGTCAAATCCAAATAAAGAAACACACAGAAAGCCGCACTCACCTGTGGATGAGCGTGCTGGCTTGTGGGACCCCCACTCCCTTACCCACGGCTGTGGGAACGGTGGAGTAGACCCAGATTGACCACCGTGCAAGGTCTGAAGCCTGAGGAGTTCGGAATTGCGCCGGGCACACCCCTTAGATGACTGCTTGTGCCGCGATCAGCGGCCCAAGACAGTGCACACCCTCAACGTCTTCATCAGAGACCCGTCTGAGGTAATGATTGGCAAAAACTGAGTCAGAACGCCAGTAACAACCCCGCAATATTCTGTGAACAGATATATTGGAGTGTAGGGCAAATGTTGCCGCTAGCGCCCTAATCTCGTGCGGGTTTGACCCCGCTACCGGTAACCCCCCAGACCGGTACGCCAGATTGATGACAGAACGAAGCCATAACGCAATCGAGTTGCGAGTTATGTCAACCGTGCGATTAGGGTTACACGATATGAACAGACGGTCACGCCCTTGTCTGCGTTCATTCGAAGCCTTAAGATAATACTTAAGGGCCCTAACCGGACACAGCGATCTGTCCTCGGTATCAGCAGGAGGTAAGATTTCTTTGATGGATCTTACAGCGAATTCTCTCTCCGTTTGGCCAAATTTCTGATTCTTAGCGACGAAGCCCATGAGCAAGCCCAGGCGGACCGCTCCTTCGTCGCCCCTATAGAATCGTACTTTGGTGACATCGAGCGTGTGTATTTCCGACACTCGTGCCGCCGTGGCAAAGGAGAGAAGAAATGCTGTTTTCCAAGTCACATGCCGGAACGAAGCACTATGCAAGGGTTCATACGGAGCCTCCGTAAGTGATTGTAACACTAAGGAGAGATCCCAGGCCGGGGCCCGAAGGCGGCCCTTTTTAAGATCATGCTGTTTGAAACCCTTGATAATACCCCGAATCACCGGCTCTTTTGAGAGACTGGTACCCATAGCAACGTCCCGTACCGTAGCAACGGACGAGACATAGTTGGCAATGGAACCCCCGGAGAGTTTCCGGGTCTCTCGCAAGTGAGACATGAAATGAGCAATATCCTGCACAGATACCTTATCTGGCGAATGAATGTGATGTTTGCAACACCACTTCGTGAAAATAGCCCAACGTGCATTATACACCTTCTGGGTAGAATCACGATGCATACTAACGTATGCCCGAGACGCCCGACGAGAAAAACCTTTACTCCTCAGACGCTCGGTGACAACATCCACGTGCAGATTGAACTGCCCTGCGTTTGGATGAAGCTGACAGGTGTGAGGGTGGATCAGCAGATCCGGTCTCACAGGCAGTGGAAGTGGCGACTGCGTGGCCTGGGCCAGCAAGTCGGGGTACCACGATCTGTTCGGCCACATGGGCGCGATCAGTAACATTCGACAGCGAACTCCTCGGAGCCGGCTTAGAATGAGTGGTATTAATGCCGTCGGCGGGTAAGCATAAGCGTCCATGCCCGTCCAGTCTAACGCGAGAGCATCGTGATCGATGGCCCTCGGGTCCGGGACTGGTGATACAAACAACGGGAGTTGATTGTTGAACCTGGTTGCGAACAGGTCGACCATCGGACGACCCAAACGTTCGCACAGCCACTGAAACACCACTGGGTTTAGCATCCACTCCATGGGGCTCGGATCCCGAGGCCTCGATAGAGCGTCGGCCAGTACGTTCCGCACACCTGGGATGTGACGGGCGCGTCCCTGGCATGGGACACTGTCCACCAGAGCGTAAAACTAGAACGCGAGATCGAGTAGCGAGTGACTGTGGGTTCCCCCCAGTTTGTTCACATAGGACACTACTGTCGTGTTGTCGGTCGCCAGCATGAGCCGGGCGTCAACGAGACGATGCTTCCAGTGATTGACTGCGTTTATCACTGCCTTGAACTCAAGGCAATTGATGTGAAGACCTTGTTCGTCTTCGCACCACAGCCCCGAGCTCCCCTCCCCCTCTAGATGGGCGCCCCAGCCCACTAGAGAGGCGTCTGTATACAGGTTCAACATGGCGCGGAAGGGCCGCATAGAGACACCTGATAAGATGTTGCAAGGGACCGTCCACCACTCCAGATGCGGTCAGAGCCGATCCGGTAGGCAACGGTCGCACTGTTCTCCTCCTGTGCTAACAACTGGATTAGAAACCGTTGCAGCGGGTGGAGTTGGAGACGACCCCGATCGGTGCAGTCCTGGGCTGACACAAGTAGCCCTAACAGCTGTTCCCAAAAGTGAACAGTCTGTTGCACCGCTAAGACTTTGGCAATCATCGCCTGAATCTTGTGCCACCGGTCTGGGGGACAAAGAGGCGATGGGTCACCGTGTCAAACCGACCACCGATGAACTGCAAGTTCTGTGAGGGGGTTAACTCGCTCTTGGGGAGATTGATAATCCACCCCAATTGCTCCAAGAGCCGACGTGCAAAATCGAGATGGCGTGACAGGGCGTCCGTCCTTCGATTGGCCACTAGCGAGTCGTCCAGGTACGCGAAGTACCTGATACCCCTCTTGTGGGGGAACCCCACCATGGGGGTGGTTAACCGGGTGAACAGCCAGGGAGCGGACGAAAGACCGAATGGGAGTACAACCCACTCGTAGTGCCTGCCTTGAAAGACAAACCTGAGATACTTGTGATGATCCGAGTGAATCGGAACATGCAGATAAGCATCCTTCAGGTCGATCGAAGCGAGCCAGTCGGCCGGCATGATCAGAGCTTTCAGGTCCGCCAAGGTCAACATTCTGAACTTAGGCGGCTTGTGCAGGTAAAACTCGTTGAACGATTTCAGATTGTGAATCATTCTGAGTTCGGCACTGTCTTTCTTGGGAACAAGAAATATCCTGGAGTAAAACCCCGGTGTTATTTCTGGTAGGACTAACTCCCGTACCGCCCTCTTCCCCACCAAACTGCCGATGGCATCGGCGAGGATGGGAAGATCGGCTTCCAAATAGAAACCTTCCAATGGGGCGACGGTGAGCGGCGGATCCGCTTTGAGATCTAGCCGATAGCCGTACCGAATCGTGTTGACCACCCACGGGTCGTCGAACACTTGTTCCCAATTCTCCCAGTAAGTCTGGAGTCTGGCTCAGACAGGGGAAGGGAAGGGAGGCCTCACAGGCTGCGGCAGACGCAACTGTCCAGGGCTGAATGACTCGGGTTCGCCTACGGGCCAACCGAAGCTGGCGCTGTTGGCACGCAAACCCTGCAAGAGAGAGTCATTTGGAGGAGCCCTTACCGTCACGAGACGGCTTAGGCTTCCCCCAGTGTCCCTTCTTCCCCCGAAAGGGCGGCAGGTTGCCCTTACCGGGGCCCTCAGAGCGGGACCTCTTCCCGGAGGAAGAAGACACCGACCCCTTGGACTTCCCGGCCGCAGCATCCTGAGGGGCGCTCCATTTAGGGGCACCACCCAGGCGTCTGTGCAGAGACCCAACCAGATCCAACGTATGCTGCGAACCCGCAGCAGACGAAGCAGAATGCTGTTCTTTTAGAACACCAGGGATCTGATTATTAAATAGGGTCTGCACAGACCGAGGCTGCGAAAGTAACACCTCCTGGTTGGCGGCGTCCAACCCAGAAGAGGCAAGGTACGCTTGCCGCCTCAAAAAATGGCACGTGCCGGAAGGAAAGGCCGAAAGGGTTGCATTCAAACCGATCAAACAGTTGTAAATGCTCTGGTCTCGGTCCGTGGGGCCAGACTGGCCGCCGCCGCCAAGTAGGTGTCGCCATGTGACATAGCGAGCATGGACTGCTGAGAGAGGGTGTCCATCTGCTGTAAAGTCGCTTGAGTGACTGTAGTAGAAGGTGGGGCACGGACACCCAACCTCTCCACATGGGCCTCCGCGGTGGGACTTGATTCCGGGAAGGCCAAGTCATGCACTGGGAACGAACCCTTTCTCCATGACGGAGGAGGTAACGGGAGTCCCCGACCAGAGGCCGCCGCGAAGGCTTTCTCCAGAGACGGCTTGATCCCGCGCAACAAAGTTGACGCGGGAAAAGCCCTGTCCGCGGACCTCTGAGGAACCCACCAAGCCGTGGATTCCCCGGGGTACCGGCTGGGGCCGTGGCATGTCCTCAAAGAGGTACACCATGGCCACACGGTCCTTAGTCGATAACGGGAGTATCGGCTCGGGGGAAGGACCGGTGACAACGGTAGCCGCCGCCGTACCCGTAGACCCCGCGTCCGAACCCACAGCCACCGAAGGGGCCGGGGACGGAACAACCAGGGTCTTATCCTGAGATAAGGCCCGCCAGTTTGGAGTCCACCAATTGCGACAACAAAGCCGCGACGGAAACCCCGGACAGCCCAAGGGCTGACAAGGGGTCCGCCGCCGAGGAGGTAGTGCCCGCAATGGGCGCCCAAACGGACGAACAGGCCACCTCAGGGGTGATAGCAGAACGCACGTAGCGCCTGTATCGCGCAAAATCCTCAGGCCCCAGACCCTCGCACAGGGTGCATCGGGTGTCCTCGCAAGGGAACCGTCACCGCGGGCATCGATCGTGGTGATCCCGGGACGACAAAAACTTCTGACAAGCGCCGCAGCGCCTGGCAGCAGGAGTAGTCGGGGTGCTGGACAAATCCAATTCCATGTCAGACATTGTTCTTTGAACAAAAAGCAAACATGGTTACAACACACAGACCAAACATATTCACAAACGTAGATTTTCCGAAGAAAAACAAATGATAAGAGTGAATACATAAAATACATATATTATAGATATATATATATATATAATAATAGGTGATGCAAAAAAACACCCCACAATATACCACTAAAGGTAGACGGAAAACACAAAGTGCCGCCGCCACACCCCCGTTAGTAGCGAAAAAAGGCGGGAAAATTTAGGCAGGAAAATTTTCTAAGCGCCGTATAACGAACGCCCCGTATATTACAGTTTACTTAGGACTAAGAAACAGTAATAAATATCACCAAGGATAGCAGGAGGCTGGTAGAACGCAGAGCAGTCTATGGATACGTCTTGCGAAGGCAAGCGAAGAGACAAGAGTGAAGGGTGTCACATGGCTGCTAGGTGGCTACGCACGTGCTGCATGAGGTAATTGAGATCTCTGTGGAAGATTTCGCTATAAGAGCAGTTGTGGGGGACAACAGCCTCGGTATAACAGTGGTAACGTATTACTTAATGTAATTAATGTCACGTTCAAGAAAATTTCACTTCTTCAGAGACTGAGATGGCATGTACTTAATCAATGAAGTAATACTTTAGTCATAATTGTTAATTGCAAGAATGAATAATAAATAAATAGTTCAAAAACCAAATCCATGAAAGTCTTACCTCCCCCACCATCCAAATCCAGCTTCTTCTTGTCATTAACCAGTCGTAACAACTTGGTCGCCATTCTGAATAAAGATAGATACGATATTAGCAGTGTTTGAAATGAAAGGGGGTTCTGCAACTTTCCGAGGCAGAGAGTTAACTGACTATAAAAGTCCTGTTTCCAAACTTGCTGAACGTGCTGAACTAGGCTGGAATTATGGAGTCATATTTTGGCTGGACTAACAAGTCTGTCCATAGTCCAATCAACAAAGCATATGGAAACCGAAGTGCAGATTTCAGTCAATTGCAGGATTTGCAAAGCCATCAACAAATATTTTCCCAATCTTTTCAAGTTTTTAATCAAGGTGCTCATGTAATTTAATGCATTTTGCTATGCAAGACCAGTTTCATCACAATATAGACTTTGATTATCGATCAGATCATCTTGACTGGGCAACGCCATTTTGTTAGAAGAAAATACAAGTGATAAGAGAGGTGGAATCTGATTAATCAATGGGAGGGACATCGAATGGCAGGAATCTATGGCCTCCTGCATGTTTTAACTTTTAACATCAGGGTTATGACAAGGACCCATTGACTTTCAATTTTACTTTTGAACACTGATTACTGAACATGTTCATAGGAAAGCACTGTCTGTCACCGATATACCCTACAATTCCTAGAGTATACAAAAGAACATTCAGTCATTCAAAGTAGTCACATAAACACTATTACTTGTAGAAATACCATCATGACCATTAAGGCAAACAATCAATGTAAATAGCAGTGATACTATAAAATAACCAAAAACATTTACTTTCTTTGCAATTGTGTTCACAACAAATTTAACAAAGATTATACTTTGCCATTTCGAAAGTTTTTGTTTTGTTTGTGTGTTGTTTAATGCCGCACTCAGTAATATTCCAGCTATATGACGGCGGTCTGTAAATAATCAAGTCTGGGCCAGACCATCGGGTGATTATCATCATGAGCATCGATCAACACGATTGAGATACGATGACATGCATCAACCAAACCTGACCACCCAATCCTGACATTTCGAAAGAAATACCCATCATTAATTAAAGTTTGTAATGGAACAGATCCTATGAAGAACATCAGAATCATTTTTCATGTATTCCAGTCACAATGACATTGATCATGTTCATGCTAATGACTTACATGATCAGTTTTCTGCCATGTTCTACAGATACATATCTACATAACTAAATATATTGTACCGTTTGATCTTATCTTCCTGTTTTCTGGCATGTTTCTTCAAGATGATGTTTTCTTCATAGATTCGTAAATACTTGTCCTCCAGGTCAACTCGCTCTAGTTTGGACACAGCTCGGCGCTGTAGGGCTGCCTTTTGTTCTAAAAGAGCTGGTGAAAAAAGGTAAACACAGTTCTTTGTTTGTTTGTTAGCTTGTTTGTTAATTATCGCCACCTTCAGCAATATTCCAGCTATATGACGGAGGCCAGTTAATATTCTGAACCAGACAATCCAGAGATTGATATTGTGAACATGTCATGACATGTCATCAGCCAACTCACTGAGCCTAAACAACGGATCCATTTGGTCGCCTCTTACGACGAGCTGGGGATTAATTCTAACCTGGAATCCGCACAGGGTGACAACACACTTGACTCAACTCTAATGCTGGCTGTTATATCACAAATTTATTCCTAACTATTCCTCAACAATTACAGTGAGCTAAATTAAGTAATGGCATAAACTAGTGAGTATGATTTCACGCCAGTTTTAGCCACATTCCAGCAATATCACGGCAGGGGACACCAGAAATGGGCTTCACACATTATACCTATGTGGGGAATCGGACCGGGGTCTTTGGCAAGATGAGCGAACACTTTAACCAACAGGCTACCCCAATGTCTCTTTCATGATAAAATATAACTTATGCATCGTTTGAGATGCTGTCAAGTGTCAACAAATGACTTTGATTTATATTATTAATGAGTTCAATCAGTTTGATAGAAGCTTAAGCTTCTTATCAATATTTTCTTACCTGCTTCATGAGCAGCCCTATTGCTTGTGTCCCTCACAGGGATATGATCGTGGTCTGCCATTTTTTACTTTAAGTTCAGATCTTCCACTTCACTGCCATATCCGGATTCCTTTGAACAAATATTATGAACATGTAAATGTAACTGTTACATTGACTTTAGTAAACTTGTGAGCCATGTCAAAATCTAAAGAATACTCAAAATTACTCATCTCATAAACACATGATAAACATGAGTGTGTCAGTGAGTTTGGGTTTACGCCGCTTTTAGCAATATTCTAGCAATATCACGGCGGGGGACACCAGAAATGAAGTCAACTCGTAAAATCATGAATCACTAGGGATCGATTCTACACATTGGCAGTTGGTGTTTTTAAGTATGTGAGTGAGTTGGATCTTACGCCGCTTTTAACAGCATTCAAGTTATATCATGGTGTGTCACCTAAATGAGAGAGTGAGTGAGTATGGTTTTACACCGTTTTTAGCAATATTCCAGCAATATCACGGCGGGGGACACCAAAATGGGCTTCACACATTGCACCCATGTCGGGAATTGAAACCGGGGTCTTCGGCGTGATGAGCGAACGCTTTAACCACTAGACTACCCGACCGCCCCTGATAAACATGAAAAAGACACATTTTCGTAATGAAACAATCTGATGTGCCTTATGGAAACTTAACAAATGCTGACATCATATGTTAAGAGGATCACTACGTTCATTTTTGTCCCACTCTGAACTTACAAACTAGAGAACAAAACTCAAATTTGCATTGGTAATTTGAACCTTCCAATAACTTGAATAAGTAGATCTAATTCACATGTTGCCCGCTAGGCAGTAACCCGGGTCAATGTGTAATGTCAGTCTTGTCAGAGGTATGCTAACTTCCTAAGGGATGGTAGGATGGTAGATCTACCACTATTGCTTGTTAGAGATGAAACTTGAGTTGGCATACAATCATGATAGACAAGGAGGTGTTAGAATCACTTTGCCCAAGCCTTTTACCCCTTTGAAAGCAGTTTCTGCTAGATCACCTGTCACGGAAATGTCCCAGCTCCAAGTATAATGAACACCTATTGACTTAATTAATGGCTTTTCTCAGCATGCTCAGCAAGTTTTACTGTTCATCCAAGTCATTTTTGCAAAGCAATAAGTGTATGTTACATTTGATCAAATCATTAAAAACAGAATATGTTTTGGCAGAGGACATCTGTTCCAGGGGTCATATCCAAGTAGTCCACAGCTCTTTTCAGTCTTGCGATTTACGTAAAAAGAAACTTAGATTTCAGGATAAAACAAAAAAAAATCGCACTTGAATTTCACAAAATAGTCTTGGATTAATAGACTAGTCACTAGTGGCCATGTCTATCAATGTGTTCAGTTATACAAGTTCATAAGAAATCCTGGCTAATTTCTCTACTGGGGAAGTTGACAAAGTTTATTTTAGCGTTTCATTTAGGTTAAAGGCAAGATTGCAACTTACAGTAGTAAGGGGCTTGTGGCTCTCGCTACACTGATCTTAAGTGCCTCTTTGATCCTAAGGGTGAGTTGGGGTACGGATTATCTATTTCACCATGTTCACCTCTTTTAATGAATTTATCCAATGAAATTTAAGGAAAATACATAATTTTAATCAAGTTTCATGTTTCACAAAGAAAAATCGCAACAAGATACATAATTGGGTGCTGATAACTTGGTAAAAGAGCACTGATCATATGTGATAGCATCAAGGTCTGGTGGTAAAGTGTTCACTAATCATGCTAATTAGTAGGGCTGTTACGATTCACTCGCGTATTCGGTGAATCGAACCGTATCCATTCATCAATTGAATTCATTATTCGTGGCCACTAGAATTGAATATTTATGAATATGGAAGCACGTGCATTTACATGTAAATACCCACAAGAACATATTATATGCATAGATGTCTTCAAAAGACAACACTCTTATCATGCTTATGCTATTTGATTTGACAGTAGTGTGGTCACTGGTCATTGTCGCATCTGAGCAGATACTAGTACCTGGATAAGTGCAGTATATAAATGTATAAAATATTAATAATTAACAAACTATGTCAATAATTTATGTTGTTATTGCTTCACTGAATAGTGTATTCGTTGCACCCTAATAGATTGACTCATTAACCTAGCTTAGGCTCAAGCTGTCAACGTGAGTTCAATCCTCCATGTTTTGCTGAATGAAATCTGAAAAACTGTGCCCATAAAGTGCATGACCTTTTTTATCAAATGAGTCAAATGTTCTAACTTCATGCAACTGTCATAACAAACAATATATTATTAAACATGCTAAAGCTGCACCTATTAGAACTAACCTCTGTGATTAATATTTTACTATTTATTAAATTATAAGTAAAACAAAACACTATTCCAACTGCTAAAACTGACACACAGAAATTCAGACACTGACCGACGGTGGGCAACGATGTAATGTTCAGGTCTAATTATTTGGTCTTGAAATAGCCTGAGTTGTGTGCCCTTACAAGTTCAAACCTGTTGGATTCTCTAAATGAAAACAGTAAACGAGTTCATGTACACCTCTGCTGATGTAAAAGTGTCTGTTTCACGTTTGTGTATATCCGATACATCGCATGAACTCAGTCGACACAGAGATAGAACACAACTGCTGAAATAATGGAAAACATATAAACTGACACTCGCGGGAAGTGGAATTTCAGATGGAAACTAAGGTAAACTATCTCGTTTCTAATGACTTTTCCGGTAACGCTTTTTTTCACATTGCAAACTTTGTTCATCTATTGCACATACTCACATTTAGAACCTTGTCATTTGTTGCAAAATCCAGAAAATTGTATCCGTTTATTCAATACTTAGCATTGAAAACACGAACAGAAATATTTTGTTTAGAATTTTTTGTCTTGCGCAGATGCGTTACCGCTAGATTCCGGTAGGGGACGCTACTCTTCTGAGATTAAGATTTTTGCGCACCGCTAAAACTTACCCGAACCGAATACCCGATGTATATCGTTATTATCAGCCGATTATGGTACCTACATATACGACATAAGATTTTAATAGGACACTAGATGTATCACCGCTTTTAATATTATTCCAGTTATATCACGGCGTGTCAGCTTAATGTGGGAGGAAAGCCCGAAGTGATGCAGGTCTCAGACGTTTACCACTTACCGGTGAAACCCACCAGCACGGGTATGGTGCTGACAACACTTAGAAACATAATCGGGGCGAACCGGAATTCGAACTCACAATCATAAATTTCTGGCGTGCCCAAGGGACGCAACTCTGCACAGCGAATCGCGGCGCCTTAGACGACTGGGCCACCCGTGCCCCCTTCTCACACAATAGGATGGGCAAGCCTTTATGAATACTGCATATTGAATATTAAGAGAAATTAATCTTACTTAATTTGTCTTTCATTGATCAACAGAGGCATCTTCGATTATTCAGTGTGCTATGTCTCCATTCTAAGATACTAGTATTATGATATGTTTTGTTTGTTTGTTGTTTAACGCCGCAACAACAAGGTAAATAATTGGGTGCACATCACTTGGTACATGAGAGCTAGTCATATGTTTGTTTGTTGGCCAAGTATACATTTCACATACCCATTTTTACCCCGCAGTAAATATGTGCAAATCAAGTAATCAAATATACCCTGTCTCATCTCTTCCACCGCATAGCCCTGTTCACAGCACGTGCCTGTCGCAGTCCATTAGATAGCAGGTCAATATTGACCAGATTACAGAATTGTCAAGGGAACACATTGTCCTTGTGATGGAAAGTTACTTCTTTGAAAGGCATTTAGAAGTTGGAGTACTAAGTAAGGATAAGATATATGAATGAACAACTTCTTTATTACAATTAGGAGATACGTATAAGTTCTAACATCACTTGCTTAATTGATAACGGTGTGAGAACCTACACCGAAACGCTCCTAATTGTAATAAAGAAGTTGTTCATCCATATACAGTCAAGTCTCATTAATCCGACACTCGTTAATCCGACACTCGGCTTTATCCGACACTCATGATGGGAACCGATTAAATCAATGCTATTTAGACCCGTTAATCCGACAGTTTCGCACTCCGACTCCGACACACCAAATATTTTACAAATTACCGAAATCGCTCATTAATCAGTCTCGTTAATCCGACACAGTGATCAGCGAGGTCATCTGCCCGCGAGTACACATCCAGTGTTTTGATGCGAGGCGAGTCGGCTGGTAGCTGCATATTACAAAGCTGCAGAGATAAACTTTGCTTAACAATAAACAATTAATGCTTTAAATAAAGAAAACATGATTATTCACATGCTTAGATTACCTCAATCTCATTAAAATCAAATACAAGTTCTCGCTATTGACGAGAACATCCCATTACAGGTCACGTCAGAAGAACCTTTCGCGAAATATGACCAAAGAACGTTGGTACTACTTAATTTCGTTTATCAGACATACTCGTTTATGCGACATAATCATATGCAACCAGCCATGTCGGATTAACGGGACTTGACTGTATCTTATCCTTACTTAGATGCAAAGTTAATTCCCCTTTTACTGGTCAAGCACCAGATTTGTTTGTCAGTCATACAGACCCTGAAACAAAAATATCCAATACAGCCCATGCAAGTCTATAATATTTGGCAAGTCTAGATTACTGCAGTACAAGTATCTGAAAAGTATCTTGGCTCCTTTTTATTATACTTTATAACATTAATTTAACAATTGATTTTTGGTAAATATGTTCATTTCAGAGACTAGATGTTAGTCTACAGATTTGTTTGTTTGTAGTTACATGATACTGCCAAGCTCAGAGTGAGTTGGATTTTAACGCCGCTTTTAACAGTATTCCAGTTATATCACGGCGTGTCAGCTTGATGTGGGAGGAAAGCCCCAAATGATGCAGGTCTCAGAAGTTTACCGCTTCGGTGAAACCCACGAGCACGGGTATGGTGCTGACAAACCTAGAAACATAATCGGGGCGAACCGGGATTCGAATCCACAATCATAGGTTTCTGACGTACCCAAGGGACGCAACTCCGCATCGCGAATCGCGGCGCCTCAGACGACCGGGCCACCCGTGCCCCCGCCAAGCTCAGAAGTGGCAAAGAAAAAGTCAAATGTTGACTGACCTCACCCTACTGACCTGTTTACTGTTTTAGTACTTAACACGATCCTTCCAGATACGGCCATTCTCTGTGAAATGCACTGAGAGTATGATGCACAGTTTTCCACGAAGGGTTTTCAAGTTTTTAATGAATATTATTCGAGGACATTTTCGTTTGTTTAACCGGAACGACTTGCGGTTTATCACCTGATATCTTGGGTGCTCATTTTAGTTGGTATATTCTGCCATATTTACACTAAAACTATGACACGTGTCTGCTTATTTTTCTGGCGTAATCCGTTCAAAATGGCGGGTGTAATTAAAATCTGCCTTTCAGCGACTCCATACCCTGATCACGCAGTCCTTGAAGTCTATTAAGCTGTAGTGGGGGCACAGGTGGCCCAGGCGCCGCAATTCGCTGTACAGACTTGAGACACTAAGGCGCGACGAAACCTTTGATTTTGAGTTCGAATCCCGGTTCTTCCTGATCATGTGTTATGTTTGTCAGCACCATACCCGCGCTCTTGGTTTTCACCAAAATGAGTGAGTGAGTGAGTTGGGTTTATCGCCGCTTTTAACAGTATTCCAGTTATATCGCGGCGTGTCAGCTCAATGTGGGAGGAAAGCCCGAAGTGATGCAGGTCTCAGACGTTTACCACTTCGGTGAAACCCACGAGCACGGGTATGGTGCTGACAAACCTAGAAACATAATCGGGGCGAACCGGTATTCGAACCCACGATCATAGGTTTCTGGCGTGCCTAAGGGACGCAACTCTGCACAGCGAATCGCGGCGCCTTAGACGATTGGGCCACCCGTGCCCCCGTTTCACCAAAGAGGTTCAATGTCAAGAGACTGCATCACTTGCACCAAGGATGGTCTGATGGGAATGAGTGTGATGTGTCTGAGTGGAGTAGCCACGGTATATGAGTGGAATAGTAATGTAAAACCGGCATTAGTTCGGACTAGTAGACCGCCTCCGTGGTCTAGTGGTAGAGCGTCCGCCCGGAGAGCGGAAGGTCCGGGGTTCGATCTCCGGCCGCGGCATACCAAAAGACGTTTAAAGATGGTACTTGTTGTTACCCTGTCTGGCGCTCGGCATTTAAGGGGTTAAAACAAGGACTGGTCGGCTCGGAATCAGTATACTGTGTCTGATTGGGGTATTCATGTTAAACTGCGGCATGGTATCTCAGTGGGCTAGCACTATAAATCGGCACCAGTCCGGACTAGTACAAGCAGCCACACACACACACACGTGCATACACGTCGCTATACAAGTGCAATAATCTTGGACGCGACGTCAAACCCAATTTCACCGCACCTCACCTCGGACTAGTACACGCAGCCACACACACCTGCAGGCACGTCGCCATATAAGTGAAACAATCTTGACGTTAAAACCCATTTCACCTCGCATTACCACAATTAAGCAGTAAGGTGCCGGGACTATTTTTTCTACCCTACGGAAGGGCCTATAAGAGATACAAATCTACCTACATTACAACATGCAAAAGTGACAGTAGGTTTATAAGATCGACAACGAAATATTGTCCTCAGGGTGTATTGAGTTTACAAGGTAAACACTGCATGTGTGACAGTGTTATCTTTATTGACGTCACATCAGACAATCTATTGACTTTGGACACCACGTGAAAACCAACTCTCCCCAAGGTATGTTCACATAGGCGGTGAAACGAGCGTTGCGCAAACACATCTGCAGGAAAAAACGAACATAAATTTTAATTTTCATTTCTTGTTTGGTCATCGTGATGGATTTGGACAAAACGTCACAGGTAATACGTTTATCAGAGTACGATACGGATTGCAACAAGGGAAGTTGGCAGAACATGTTTGTGTCTTGAGCGATTTTTATGGTAAGTGCAATAAATACATATACTTTTCAAAATTTGAAGACTTCCATTGTAGAATGTGTCTGAAGCCTTGTTGAACTGTGAACTAAATCACCGCCTCATGTGATATATGCGTACTACCGACACTGCACATATCAAATATATTCTTTACAGGGGTGTCTCAGTGGCTTCGAAAGTAGGGCAGAGAGACACTGTGTTAAAGGGCTTGTCATCACGATGCATTCTCTATTCTATATCTATCCTATACGTATTAGGTAGGGGCCACGGGTGGCCCGGTCGCCTAAGGAGCCAAAATTCGTAGTGAAGAGTTGTTTCCCTTAGACGTACCCGAGACCTATGATCGTGGGTTCAAGTCCTGGTTCTACCTGATTATGTTTCGAGGTTTGTCAGCACCATTACCCCGTTCATTGGTTTCACCAAAGTGGTAAACTGCTAACACCTGCATCACCTGGGGCTTACCTCCCACATCAAGCGGGCGCGCCGGGATAAAACTGGTATACTGTTCAAAAAAGGCGTAAACCAATCTCATTAAAATCAGATCTTAGTTCTCGCTATCGCTAAACAAAGAACTGAGGACGTCCCATTACGGATCACGTCAGAACGACCTTTCATCCGACCAATCACAGCGTCCCTTAACAGATCATGAAAATGACAGTCGGAATGCGTTTTCTAATCATGCAACCTTGAAAACGTTATCACGGTGTATTCCGAACGACAGTTACGGCCGTACGACTGATTCCGTCAACATTATCGACTATCTCTCGCTTCCCAGGGATAAACATTTGAACGGAGGAGGCGTTGCACAGTACGTGGGAAGTATTGCCATACGATCTTAACCATATCTTCGGCATTCCGGAATGTTCGTTTGTTCAGTTTTTAAAATGTTAATCGAGAACTGTGTCAACATGTTTTTCAAGCGTAGTCTGAAATGAAAATCGCCAGGTTGAAACGAGTGCCGTAAAGTTCGAGAAAGCTGCTTTCTAATTGGCTTATGTCGACTAAGTCATTTCAGTGGTCGGTTAAAGTTCGCGAAAGATCGTTCTGACATGACCCGTAATAGGATGTCCTCAGATATTTGTTTAGCGGCAGCGAGAACTTAGATCTGATTTTAATGAGATCGGGCGTAAACAAAATTCACTCACTCTGTTTGGGTGTAGGGAAAGCCCAATGATTCAATACAGCGGAGCATCTCGTTGTGTACAGCTGCATTCATTAGTTGACCGAGGAGCTGTTGGCTCGAACCACAGATTAACCCAGACTATGACCCTTGGGGTAGCCTAAGGCGCCGAAATTCGCTGTGCAGTTACACCCCTTTGGCACGCCAGAAACCTATTATCGTGGGTTTGAATCCCGCTTCGCCCCGATTATGATTCTAGGTTTGTCGGCACCATACCCGTGCTCGTGTTTTATTTAACCAAAGTGGTCAACGTCTAAGACCTATATCACTTCGGGCTTTCCTCCCACATCATTCAGACATGCTGTATATAACTGGAATACTGCTCAAAGCTGCGTTGAGCCCCAATCACTTGATAACCGTGCTCAATCAATGTCATGACCAACAACGACCTGCCTCAGTGGTGGTATTATCTAGGTAACGCTGACACGCCGTCATCTAACCCAATGCTGTTCAAAGCGGTAACTTATAAGCTCTGTCTCAAGCCTTTTCATATGTGATTTCCGCTTGTCAGTGGATCCTAGCCAAATTCCACTGAGGCGTTAGATGGATTTACCTTGAATTGATAATCACTAATTAGATCTATACATATTTCTTGTTTGTTTGTTGTATAACGCCGCACCCATCAATATTCCAGCTATATGAGGGCGTTCTGTAAATAATCGAATCTGGACCATCGATCTACGTCCTTGGATACAATATATATTTTTCGGGACATGTGGCATGTTCAGCGAACATTTTGTTTGTAGACAAATGATTTTGTTTTATAGATACAGAAACGTCAGCTGATGTCTATCTATCTATCTATCTATCTATCCATCCATCCATCCATCCATCATCCATATATATATATATATATATATATATATATATATATATATATATATATATATATATATATATATTCAAAATCATTTGTATGCAAACAAAATGTCCTGATACAAATGTTTTATGAAAATAAACATTCAAAAACGTTCGACTCCTCTTTGCACAGAAAAATATGCATGTCTTGAAGCAGAGTCCGGAAGATATCGTGTCTCGATCTAATACCTATATCGTTAATTTGAATTTGAATATTATTTCTAGGTGGTAGACCTTTTAGAATACAGAAACATGAGATGCGCGATGTGCACTGAGGTGACCACTGATCCTGCCACACTTCAGTGTAATCACACGTTCTGCAAGCCCTGTCTACTGAAATACACCACCACACAGCCTGAAGAAGTAGACGCTACATGCAATGAAATAGTATGTCCTACCTGTAAACAACCGACGAAGGTCACGAATTTCAACCAGCTGAAGCCAAACCTTTCCAGCCAGGAACCGGTAAACGACAGTACATCAGGTGATCGTCTTGAGTATCCCTGAGCTTTAGGAAAAGAGGACATGCTAGATTTTGAATAAGGTTCTTGTCGATCTAAAACGTGTACAACATGAGTAAAATGTTCGCACTAACGCTTATTTATATTGAATGGTTTTGTAGTTTAAAGCCGCATTCAGCCATATATATGACAGATCCTTGCAAATAATTGAGTCTCGGTCAACCAAACCAGTGGTTAATATTATGAGCAACGTCCCACGCGTTATATATTAACACTATATCAATGTCACAAGTCGGACCACCAGATCAGTTAAGTCGCCTCTTACGACCTGCATAGGTGCTAGGGCTATTTTATAATACAGAATATCCATTTGTATCTCTCTGTTTATTTACCAACTACTTTTCATTCGACATTTTAGGTTCTTTTGGAAATATATCAGGACATGACGAGTTGCCAGCTCCAGTCCTCCCATCAGAAAGCTGTTTTGGAAGTATTGGGCCACACAGCACATCCTCGCTTTCACACGATCGGGGCAACACAGACTTGTCTGTTTCAACTGTCGATCCATTGCAGTATCGTATGAGTAGAGAGCATAGTTTAGGTTCTTTTGGAAAAATATCAGGACATGACGAGTTGCCAGCTCCAGTCCTCCCATCAGAAAGCTGTTTTGGAAGTATTGGACCACACAGCACATCCTCGTTTTCACACGATCGGGGCAACACAGACTTGTCTGTTTCAACTGTCGAGCCATTGCAGTATCGTATGTGTAGAGAGCACACTTTAGGTTCTTTTGGAAAAATATCAGGACATGACGAGTTGCCAGCTCCAGTCCTCCCATCAGAAAGCTCTTTTGGAAGTATTGGACCACACAGCACATCCTCGTTTTCACACGATCGGGGCAACACAGACTTGTCTGTTTCAACTGTCGATCCATTGCAATATCGTATGTGTAGAGAGCACACTTTAGGTTCTTTTGGAAAAATATCAGGACATGACGAGTTGCCAGCTCCAGGCCTCCCATCAGAAAGCTGTTTTGGAAGTATTGGACCACACAGCACATCCTCGCTTTCACACGATCGGGGCAACACAGACTTGTCTGTTTCAACTGTCGATCCATTGCAGTATCGTATGTGTAGAGAGCACACTTTAGGTTCTTTTGGAAAAATATCAGGACATGACGAGTTGCCAGCTCCAGTCCTCCCATCAGAAAGCTGTTTTGGAAATATTGGACCACACAGCACATCCTCGTTTTCACACGATCAGGGCAACACAGACTTGTCTGTTTCAACTGTCGATCCATTGCAGTATCGTATGTGTAGAGAGCACACTTTAGGTTCTTTTGGAAAAATATCAGGACATGACGAGTTGCCAGCTCCAGTCCTCCCATCAGAAAGCTCTTTTGGAAGTATTGGACCACACAGCACATCCTCGCTTTCACACGATCGGGGCAACACAGACTTGTCTGTTTCAACTGTCGATCCATTGCAGTATCTTATGTGTAGAGAGCACACTTTAGGTTCTTTTGGAAATATATCAGGACATGACGAGTTGCCAGCTCCAGTCCTCCCACCAGAAAGCTGTTTTGGAAGTATTGGGCCACACAGCACATCCTCGCTTTCACACGATCAGGGCAACACAGACTTGTCTGTTTCAACTGTTGATCCATTGCAGAATCTAATGTGTAGAGAGCACAGAGACAGCCAGGTCCAACGTTACTGCAAAGGTTGCAGTATTGCACTTTGTGATAAATGTTGCAGTACAAAGCATGATGGGTGTGATGTTGAATCTATACAAAATATGATCCCCCTCTTTGAAGAAAAACTAGCATGTGTATCTCGACAGATATTGAAGAAGATGAAAACTACCCAGGACAACATTAGAATGGCAAAGAAACATATTGGTAACATAATCAATAATGCTCAGAAGGTTAAAGGGCAAATCCAACACGCCATGAAGTTTTCAGCCAAGACGATGATCCAAGAAGTAAATATATTTTCTGAGAGGCAAATCAACGATTTAAACGTTTGCATACAGGCTGAGGAAATGAGATTCCACCAGTATCAGCAGCAGTACAAGTACATTAACACTGTTGTAACGGCGTACTCCCTTGTGGAAATACGCGCCATCTACGAATCCTTAAGTACAGAAGAAGAAGACACAGACGCAAACACGCCCATGGAATACAGGCCAGTTCCAGAGAGGATTGTCTTCACGCAATGTGTGAACGAAAATGGTGACTATTCTCACCAGATTGAAGTTGTCCACGATGTTAGTGACCGGAAGTCGTCTGCTGTCCTCCATCACACCATTGACTGTCACACAGAGGAGGACAAGTGGTGTCCTGATTTGATTGACGTCACAGTGGTGAGCTCGAGTGGTGAGCCAAATACGATCATGATTGTAGCAGATTTCACCAACAGAAGTCTGAAATCCATTTACACATCAAAGTCAAGTCTTCATAAAAGATGTCTGAAGCTTTCTGACAGACCCTGGCAAATAGCAAAGTTACATAAAAACAATATAGCAGTCAGTGTTCCAGATAGTAAGGAAATAGTTACCGTGCAGCTCACACCCAATCCCGTCTTACTCTCAACCATCAGGACAAAGAAGGAATACTTCGCCCTAGCGTGTCCCGCCCAAACACAGCTACTGGCTGGAACATTTAAAACTTCCAACTCTGTTGACCTCCTTGACATGGCGGGACACGTACTGAAATCCATTAACACAGGTTCAATTGTGAGTCCAGATTATATCCAAATTACCGATCAGAAGAATATTCTCGTTGGCCAAGGAGATGTGAATTCTTTTGTGTCGGTGAACAGTGATGGAGCAGTTCTTTTTTATTACCCCTCAACCAGAAAAAGTGTTCTGAGCTGTCCTCGAGGTTTCGCAACAACCAGCACAGGAGATGTTCTCCTTGTGGACCGGGATTGCAAGAAGGTGATTCAACTGACAGAGTCCGGACAGTTTGTCAGAGATGTGCTCACAGAAGGGCTGGAACATCCCCGAGGCCTCTGTCTGGACAATGATGGCCTGATGTATGTTACGCTTGGGTCATGTGTTAATGTATTCACATTCAAAGATGTAATTGATCTAAGAGGTCAAGGAGAAAGAGAGCATGGTATATTATACAGCCAACGCTGTACAGAAGTGTAGGCTGATGGCATGTTAATTTCAAGTGTTCCAAAACGGTTGAGGCCTACTCTTAAATATAACACGTCAACGCCAGAGAATAATCAGTCTCGATTAACCAACGAAACAAATTCCATTGGGCATGAAAGGCAAAAAAGTTGTGGAAATTATATGAATGGGTCACTGAAAATCAGTGACATGCAAGCCTGACATGTATTGCGATCACTTCATGTCAGCACTGCAAATTCACCTGGATACGTTTCAATAAAATTCGTTTCCATTATGTTTTAAGTGAGTGAGTGGGTACGCCGTTTTTATCAGTATTCCAGCAATATCACGGCGGGAGTCACCAGAAATGGGATTCACACATTGTGCCCATGTTGGAATCGAACCCGGGTCTTCGGCTTAACGAGTGAACGCTTTAACTTCTAGGCTACCCCACAGCCAACATTATGTTTAGAACTATACCTACAGCTTTGACCTTCTAATGAGTGAATAAGTGACTGTTGTTGGGATGTACATGAGTAAAAGATATCTAGCTCTACCAAAAGAGAGAAAAATATGAAACTGTGCAATACAACATGACTTATTTATTCTGATGTAAGGAACAAAACATATTCTCCTGAACTGTAGTGCTGAACTGTTATGATACATTCTGTGTAACGAGATTGCCATACACATCACAGGTCTTGAAGATGAGTATTTATTTGAATGCCATGTTATGTGTTGGAATAGGTGGTGTCAGAGCTGTTTTTAATTTGATGGCATTTTCATTAGCCTGCGGTGTGATAATTCTACAACTGACGTTATTTACTGTAAAGGAAGCTTACTGCATGCCACATTTACACATATATCCGTTTATTATGCCTCAAAATGTGATTGACCCATCAGAGAGCAGAACTGCTAACCTCATATACCGTCAGTAAAAATCCAAGATGGTTGTTACTAACCACAAATGAGACCGTATACCGTCAGTAACAGCCATTTTGGATTTTCCAACACCCACCTGACATATTTACAGGTAACATCTGGTACAGAAATCCGTTATTCGACAACTGTTTTTTCATATAATTAATTGTGATTTGCAAAGGCATTATTTTAAGAAACCACGTTCGTGACTTTATTCATTAAACCTATAGAGGAAAAAGGATCACAACGGAGGTCACTAACTTATAAATAGCAACGTCAAAGAACAAAATATAGGATGACGTCACAAACAAGAAACGTGACGCCAGTGACGTACGTCAAATAGCAATAGAAAAGATGCAGCCCGTTGTTAGGGGAAAGCGGACTGTTATCAAGTTACAAAAACAAGAAACGTGACGCCAGTGACGTACGTCAAATAGCAATAGAAAAGATGCAGCCCGTTGTTAGGGGACAGCGGACTGTTATCAAGTTACAAAAAGCCTCTGGGGCGGTCGGGTAGCCAAGTGGTTCAAGCATTCGCTCGTCACGCCGAAGACCTGGGTTCAATTCCCAGCATGGGTACAATGTGTGAAGACAATTTCTGGTGCCCCAAGCCTTGATATTACTGGAATATTGCTTAAAGCGGTGTAAAACCATACTCACTCACTACAGTGACCTCCAGATTTCTGATAACATGCGGGCATTTTTGTAATAATTCTATTCATTTTAGCTAGAATACTTGTTTAATCGTTCACATTCAGTTCATTATGTATTCCTTTGTTAACGTTTGTGTTTACATTAAGCCTTGTATAGGAAACATATACTGATCCTGTCAGTTATACTGGTTGTAAGTTTTCATTTTGTCATGACATGTGCGATAAAGAGACCAAATAGTGTAAACTTTTCGGCATAATAACCTCGTTTTGGTGTGTTTAGTTGCCGAATACGGTGTCATATTAGATCAGCAAAAAAAATAATATTAACATCGACAAAGATCAAAGCAAAAAGTCCCAAGCACTAGGCAGCTAGGTGCCCTGGTCACGGTGTTAATGATCTAGCTGGCTTCCTATTGCCCTTAATGCTATTTCCATTCTTTTACCTATCAGTGCTAATTACCCCCGGCCTCCCGTTTGCCTTTTGTCCATTGCCCATCTCCAATCAATGATAATTTAAGGGCTGGCTTCCAGTTGTCCATAACCATCAGCGTTAAATACTGTGAAGTGTTGGCTTCCATTGTCTTTTACTAATCACCTGTCGGCGTCAATAATATGGCCTCCCTTGTTAGTTTCCACCTTTTGTTATCTTATTACTTTTGTTGGCCTTACATGTACATATATATACTCTCTGCCTTATAGCCTTTATTCACCTGATGAAGGAGTAAGCATATACTCCGAAACGCTGTTTTTCCTCATAATAATGAAGTTGATATCCATAAATGTGAAACACCGCACTCAGCAATATTCCAGCTGTATGACGGAGTCTGCACCAGATAATCCAGTGACTGACCTCATAAGCATCGATCCACGCATTTGGGATCGATGACATACATCAACCAAGTCAGCGAGTCTGACCACCCGATCCCGTTAGTCGCCTCTTACGACAAGCATAGTCGCCTTTTACGGCAAGCATGGGTTGCTGAAAAACCTACTCTACCCCGGATCTTCGCGGGTCTTCAGAGAGTGTCCCAGTGTTGAGAATCGAACTGCCCAAGAAAAGTTCCTCCTGTGTACTCGACAGACCCTTCATTACCCGTATATTATGACATAGCATAGAGAATACAAATAGATAGGCTGGAATGCCTGTCAATATAAATAATATATACAATCCAAGATATACCTTCTATCTTCCCTGGTTTGTTCCGAATGCACGATATACTTCGTGAAAATGTTTATTTTTAAAAACGTTTTGTTGTACTTTGTTTGTTTGATTGTTCAATGCTATATGAGATATAGTTGACATATTTTCATGTACTTGATGGTGTTATTAATGCAACAAACCCATCCTATAAACATGGTATCACGATCCGATTAATCTGCAAATGAGAATAAAAGAGACCAGAGAAACAGCCTCATCTGTTTTATATTTATGTTTATGCATACAAATTTAGAGAGACAAAACTATCCAGAACACTGTATGACAAGAGGGATGACTTTAACTTTCAAAAAGTAAACATTCACATTATGTCGAACAATATTAGCTCCAGTCTTTGTGATCGATATTTCACAACTGTTGAGGTAAAATCAAGCATGCTTTTTCCATGAAGATTTTATAGAGAGTGTCATACGACTCTTGCTGAAAAGTCGTTTGATCAGGTTTACAACATTCAAGGCTTTAATAATCTGTCAAAACGTTTTATGTAAGACATGTTTAGGACATTCCAAATTTGACGCATCAGTGACCAAAATGCTCCCCCGCCACACACACACACACACACACGAACACGAGCACACACACATACACATACACACACGGACACGAACACCCACACGAACTCCAACACGAACACACACCCCCCCCCCCCCCCCACACCCCCCCCCCCCACACACACACACGCACGCACGCACGCACGCACGCACGCACACACACACACACACGAGCACACACACACACACGGACACGAAAACACATACACACACACTTGCATGCACGTCGCTATATAAGTGCCATTCTTGAACGCGACGTTATATCCCAATGAGATACCTTGCCGTAGTCTAAACATGAATACCTCACACATTATTCGCCGAGCCGACCAGTCCTTGTTTTATCCCCCTAATGCCGTGCGCCAGGCAGGGTTACAACAAGTACCCTCTTTTAACGTCATTTGGTATGACGCGGCCGGCGATCGAACAATGTAGACAAGAAGGACGATGAGTGCCCATACAAACTGTGTGTCCATATGGTGTCAAAATTGTGACTAGTAGAGACCGGTTGAAAGATAATGCTATTCCAAGGTTTCTTTTTACTGCAGAATGAGTGAGTGAATTTAGATTTACGCCGCTTTTACCAATGTACCAGCAATATCACGGCGGGGGACACCAGAAATGAGCTTCACACATTGTACCAATGTCGGGAATCGAGCCCGGGTGTTCAGCGTGACGAGCGAACGCTTTAACCACATGGTACCCGACCGCTCTTTACTACAGAAACTGCAATCTACAATACTGGAATATACTGTTCACAGGGGCAGTAAACCCACACAACTGCCGAATGCACATTCTACAAAGGGCAGATACTATACACACTAACAAGCAGTATCAGTTCCCTCTTATAACCTTAGGGGCGGTCGGGTAGCCTAGTGGTTAAAGCGTTCGCTCGTCACGCCGAAGACGAGGGTTCAATTCCCGACATGGGTACGATGAGGGAAGCCCATTTCTGGTGTCCCCCGCCGTGATATTGCTGGAATATTGCTAAAAGCGGCGTGCAACCAAACTCTCTCACTCACTCACCCACTCTTATAACGTTATCTCACTCAGGCCATACCCTGATCACACTGAAAGTTAAGGGGGTGGTCACTGTTATTCATAGATATGTAATACACAAGAGGTGCTGATTACAAAACTTAAATAGATTCTTTCAACAGAGTTGTTAAAACACGTTACTTTATTTTACCCCAACAATACATCACGTGACATCTGCGCACATGTGTAAAGTTAACTAGGTCACAAGTCAGCCATGGTCGGGAAGGGTAACACGGAAGTAAAGCTGCAGGTACGTGAAATCATATCATTTCATCATATAACAGGTTGACCGTTTCCCGATACAAATGAAGAGTGTTGTTTAATGAATTGTACATTGTCTCTGTCAATGTATTTCAAGTACAGCTGAATCTGAACCACTGTAATCATTTACATTATCGTTTTGTTGTTCTTGGCGTGTTGCTTATCACCCGCTCAGCAAAAGTCCAGCTATATGGGGCGGTCTGTAAAAATCGATTCTGGACAAGACAATCCAGCGATTGACATCGTGACCTTGGGATAAAGTGAATTGCAATCAACCAGCTTGACCAGACAATCCATTTTGTCAATGATTTCATATATTTCTGGGGAGGGTGGGGGGAGGGTGGAGGGTTAGGGAGGCTTTGTATTCTCATCCGGGATCCCCAGTGGGTTCTTCGCAGGATATTGAGTTCAACGTATTATATAGCCTATTAATGCTTGCTCTACCAAGAAGAGTATTTTCTGTCTGCCTCATGTTGCATTGGCCTGTAGATGTGGCTAATTAAGTCATTATACACTTGGGCAAGGCCTACGAGACAGGCTCAAACAGGTCTTACAATGTACATGATACGACCCATAGTCTCACATAGAAAACTCACGTGACAGTATGTATGCAGCGTACTGCGCAATTACAACCTAATAAAGCTGCAGGTACGTGACATGACCTAGTTTGTTTAAGGGTGTATGCTCTGAATAATTTTGGGGGTGGGGGGTGGGGGGCGCGCAATAATTTTATGCTATTTAAACCCCCATCAAGGGCATAGCTACTAACAATCTTAGTTAATAATCATATATTAAATCAAATGCATAACATTCTACATACAAAATTATCATTTATTTCACTTTCTTAAAAATAGTTAAAGGAGCACTTATCTGATTAAACAGATCCTCTATGAATGAAACTTTGAAATATTTATCCCTCGTGATGGAAAAATTTACACAGTCAAGCAGGACATGCTTGACAATGATTCTTTTTATCACAAGGGATGCAAAATGGAGGATCCTCATCTTTCAATAAATATTTATGAGTATATCTACTGTGGCCAATAGGACATCGACGTAAAATGACCTCTTCAAACCTGGACTGACAACCCAAGCACGTGTAACCGATATTTGGTTTAATTTGATGGAACTTATTCATGCCTACTTGGTTGTCCAACTTCTCTTGCTTGAGATTTCGGATGTAACATCTAATCACAGGTTTGTTATTACTGTATGGGATAAGAAGTGGTGTCACAGATTTGTTGAGTGCTGCTTTTGCTGCAGCATCAGCTATTGTGTTACCTGTTATGCCCACATGACTGGGACACCAACAAAAGACGATGTCGTATTGGCCAGTTGAAAGATCATTGTAAAGTTCTAAAATATCTAAAATAACTGGATGAGTCGAAGAGACATTTTTCAGTGTCTGAAGACATGATAGAGAATCAGAAAAGATGATAAACTGTTTACATGCAGACTGTCGTTGAATGTATACCAAGACTGTAAGGATAGTATTGGCCTCAGCAGTGAAAATAGCATTGGCCTCAGCAGTGAAAATAGAGCTATTTTCTGGTATTGTAGATGACATAACTTTTGATCCAACGACAGTGGCACTTACCACTTTGCCACCGTCCTTGGATTCATCAGTAAAGATTGAATGGTGAGTGTTGAATTTATTTCTTAATTGTAAATATTTCTGTTGATATACCAGCTGATTTGTGTCTGAGTTTATAAAACATGTCAGGGAAAAGTCTATTTCTGGCCTCACTAACTGCCAGGTAGGAGCAGACAAAAGCCAATTTGGAACGAAAATATCTAGATGTAGATAAGCACCAAAAATATGGGATTTGATATTAATTAATTGGGGTGGACCCAACTTTTGTTTCCTCTGAAACAGTTCTTCATTTAGGGGATGAAAAACGGAGTCATAAGCAGGATTGGAAGGATTAGAATGCTATTTAGTGATGTATTGAAGAGACAATTTAGTACGGCGTTGTTTCAAAGAAGATTCATCAGCCTCGACATAGAGCTCGAGGCTGTCAACAGGAGAAATTCGAAAAGCACCAAGACATAGTCTTAATCCTTGATGGTTGATTGAATCTAAGTGTATTGAATCTTGTGTAAGATCCAGCATACACAATGGTGTCATAGTCCAATTTAGAGCGGATTAAATATCTATTATCTAGTAATTATCGTGTGAAGGAGAGTTGTCTGATCCCTGCCCTAATTAGAATTTGAGATGACTCTCAACAAATCTCGCCCCTTCAGGCATTTTGTCTTTAGATATTAATATGGCGTAAAAACGTCAAATTGTGGTCGAAAATTAATCCCAGAAACTTGGCTTCTTTTACAGTCTTAATTGGAGTGCCATCTAAAAATACCTCAGGATCTTTATGGGGATTATATTTTCCACAGAAATGTATACAATTGGTCTTGGTCTGTGAAAACTTAAAGCCATTCTTGAGAGACAATTTAATCTCTCAATAAGCATATTTTAACCACAGCAAGAAATATTATAATCCACCACAAACAATGGATCATCAATTGAGTCATTTAATACTATTGATAGACTATTTATTTTGAAACTGAACAATGTGACAGAATACTGCCCTGTGGAACCCCCTGATCCTGATTATAAGATGAGACAGGGTTGATCCAACACAAACCTGAATTTGTTTGAGTTTTAAGAACAGCGACAGAAAATCATGCAAATCTTTTAAAATTCCTTGCTTCCAAGTAGTATCATGAGCTTTTTCAAGATATAGCTACGTCATATTGCTTGTGGACCATAGCATTTTTAATGAATGATTCTAAACGAAAGAAATGACCAATTTTACTTTGATTTTTTCGGAAACTGAATTGGATATCACTGATTAGATTGTTGGGTTCCAAACGATTAGTAACCATGAACTCTATGGTTTTACGAACCAATCTAGTTAACGACCTTGGTATAGGAACAACGATGGCATTTCTCAATGTCCCGTTGTCGAAATATCATAAAAAATAGTCAGTAGCATTTCAATACAAGATTCAGGCAAGTGTTTTAAGAGCTGATAATGGATATCATCAGCTCCTGTTGCAAGATCATGAGCTTGAGCTAAGGCAGTGTGTAGCTCATGTAGTGAAAATACTTAATTATAATCTTTGCCATTGTCAGAATTAAACTTCACTTTTTACCTCTCTTGTTGTTTTAGATATTTCTGAAATTTTGGATGATAATTAGATGAAGAAGAGCGTTTAGCTAAAGTGTCACCAGATTTATTTGCAATATCAGATTTTGCAGTCAATAAATAATTGTCTTCTATGGGATGATGAATACTAGATTTGGAACCTTTGCCTTTGCTTTTATTGATCTATTGACATATGCATGCGTGAGTTTATTTTGGAAACATAGTTGTTTTTTCCAATTCTGACGTTTATATTGTTTTAAAGTTCATCGAGCCTTGGCTTTATTGATTTTATACATTATTTGAATTATTAACAGTAGGATGATGTCAAAAGTATTTCTCTGCTTTCTTCCTACACTTCCTAGCTTGTTTACAGTCGTCATTAAACCATGGTTTATCGATGTGTTGGCTCACAGAAGATTGAGGAATAGTTTCATCAGCTATATGTTTCTTTTTGTCATTTCTAATAACAGAACAAGAGGTGTAGGTGGTAGGTTTCGGCACCTTCGGCACCCCCGCTCCCACCCACCACAGAGTGTCAGCAAATACATTGTTTCACAGCTGCTTATACCCAGCATGCAAACACAAGAAATACAGGGGCGATATACTCCAGTAAATACGGCATGAACAGCTATGTTTGTTCACCAAATAAAATGCTAGGCTGGTTTGGCTCATAACAAGAAATCGGAAACATATGGAACTCAGAGGTCGACATTAACAAGTTGGCCCATGAGCCACCGCCTTCTGGCATAGGTCTCTAGGCAAACGTATTCATATAAAACTTAACATTCAAAGCCCAAATACAATATCATATAGAAAATTAAAGTAACAAGTTTCCAACACAGGGCTTGACATGACCAGCTGATTGATAGAACCCATTTTTCCACCCGTCCAGGTGACGTTAGGGTCAAACTTCCTAAACACAATTCCTGGAACAAATGCCCTCAACTACCATATTACCTTCCTCCATCGACACAGGGGTGCAAATCCACGGCACACGGGTTGTCTAATTTGTCGCCTTTTATGACAAGCAATGGGATACTGAGGACACATTCTGCCCCGGGTCCCCATGGGGAACAAAACAACGGTAATGTTCCAAAATCTATTTAATCACCCTTGGACATGTCAGGACATGTTCACACCTTCAATGTACCTTATGGATGTGAAAAGAAATGTATTCATAAAAATTACACGGCTACAGTTAGACACATTAAACTTAACACAAAATAACTCGGAAAATATGTATATAAAATGTCTTTAAATAAATACCCACCATTATTATTTAAAATTACCTGTAAATATAACTTAGGAGGTAGGATATATATTATTATACATCTAGTGTTGATTTAATTAGACCCCAGTCAAATAAAAACAATAGGAAGGTGTTGAGGTGTTTTCAAATTAGTCTGTGATTTACCCCATGTTTTTTCATATGTCATATTGACTTGAACCGAATGTTCTCGTGTAACAGAACACATATGAACAATTGACTTGCTTTTGCATGTGGTTGTTATGGATGCCAATGTTGGTACAGGATAATCCTCGCAAACACCTGGTATCATAGGTATCTAATAGATTCATGAACACATGCTCATGATATAGTTGGATTCATAGAGTGGTTATTGTATCTATTTGACAAAAAGATCTAAATACATTTGCTTTACACATGATTTCATGTCATACACACAATCTTTGGTCAGACTGAATGCATATGGTTTATTTGTGACAACAACATATATACCATTATATGTGTGTGATGTATCGCCATGAGTACAAACGGCCAAGGTAGGTATGATCTTATTTCCCTTTTAAGAATTCTGATGTTTCTGCTTCAATTAACCATGAGGTGATGTGAGGTGAAATGGGGTTTAACGTCGCGTCCAAGCAATTAACCATGAACGAAAGCACAAAACAATATCTGTTACAATGGATCCTTATCACTAACAATCAACTCTATGATAACAATAGTTAAAGACTGTAACAGAAAACATATAAACTAGTCTGGAACGTTAACAATTTACCTGGAGAAGCTGAATTGACAATATCCAGAGAGGCTGAATTGCCCATACCTGGAGCGGCTGAATCGACTACGTCCGGAGAGGTTGAATCCACTACACCCAGAGAGGCTGTATCGACTGCACCCAGAGACACTGAATCGACGACACCCGGAGAGGCTGAATCGACTACACCCGGAGAGGCTGAATCGACTACACCCAGAGACACTGAATCGACTACACCCAGAGACACCGAATCGACTACACCCAGAGACACTGAATCAACTACACCCGGAGAGGCTGAATCGATTACACCCAGAGACACTGAATCAACTACACACGGAGAGGCTGAATCGACCACTTCCGGGGAGGCTGAATCAAAATCCGGTGAGTTACTATTTTTATCTCACCAGAGCGAAAGTCACGTGAGCTGTATAGATAGAGTTCTGGTCGTCTCTTAACGTCTTCTCAGAAACCACCAGACTAGTTAAGCTGAATTGACACGTAATTGTGTTAAGATGTGCGAATCCAGTAGCCACATTGAAAAAAATATGCATGAGAACTACTCAGCAATTCGTGTTGAGCATTTCACTAACAGGTGTTACAATATCGACAAATTAAATAACATCAACTGGGATCACATGCATGTGATTTGCATGGCTTGCAAAGAAACGTTCTCCACAGATTCAGTTTTAGTCAAGCCAAAAATAGTTGTGAAGGCCCTATTCTAGAGTATCATTACTGGCATTTTATCACCAGGACCACCAGTATTAGGTCATGTAGCAATGAGTGATGTGGTGATATTGTTTTTTAATATTTTTTTTATTAATCTAATACCGCAGTTAAGCAGAATGAGTGCCCCCAGTTATCACCAAATACTTGTTAAATCATGGCATGCCTTGTAATATTTTTTCCATGGCAACCTGATTCAAAACCCATTTGTCCCTAATATCTCACTTTTCATTCGTCTTCTGTGAAGACATAAGCAGCTGTGTATCTTTATATTTGGTCAAAACCTAAGGAGAGCCTAGATTCAATGTCATGGTGTCCACTGTGGTTGGTTGGTTGGTTTGTTGTTTAACGCCGCACTCAGCAATATTCCAGCTATATGACGGCGGTCTGTAAATAATCGAGTCTGGACCAGACAATCCAGTGTTTGATATCATGAGCATCAATCCACGCGATTGGGATTGATAACATGCATCAACCAAGTCAGCGAGCCTGACCACCCGATCCCATGGTTGCTGGGTTGCTGAAGACCTATTCTACCCCGGAATCTTCACGGGTCCTTTTCCACTGTGAAAGTGGGTAGTCATTAGCTATTATGATCTTATTCATCAAACGCAGGTCTGCAGAGAAGTAAGGATTTGTATTAATGTCTTCATTCCAACTGAGCAAGTACAAGCACTCTATTGCATTTTGGCACAGATATCTCATTCATGGATATTGTACGTGCGCTTCATTAGACATGCTATATGATTACCCCCTTGTCTCGAGGG